TCACGTTGAGAAGTCATTGGAGGTGTCAGGGTATGTGCATTGGCCGCCGTTCCGCTGGCAGAAGCCGCATGCTGGCCGGACATTGTCACATTTCGTTTTACGGACCCGGCAGGGCCCACACGCCGCAACAGCACGCCGTCTCTGGTACATGCCCGAGGTCCGGCGCCGCTTGTTGGATGTTTCAGGCGCCTCATTTCCTGCGTCGGACATTGTGGGATGTTCCACAAGGCTTTCTGTGGGGTTGTAGATATACCTACACGGGCGCGAGATCTACTCCGATACCAAGTTCGACGATGATTCGTTTTCGACGTGTTTGTTGACTTGATGGAAATGGTTGACGATTCCCAAATGAGAAGCGCGGGGAGTAGCGGAGTTATGAAGGTGAGGAAAAGCGAAACCGATACCAGGGTCCACCCGACTAAAGTAATGGGGATTTTTGTTGCTTTTGGCTAGCTCTCTCGCTGCTTTGAGTTGGGGTGCATTCACTCTGGCGGATGGTCTACAGACCATTTGGTGATACCGAAGGCAACTTCCTCTCTCCAAGGAGGTTGGAATTTATCAGATTGAGTCGTAAAGCTTTCTACATTCAATCACTTTTTGATCCTGCTTGCATGGATTCTAACGATCACCGAGAACTAAGATAAATTGGAAAAGACTGTCATTCTCAAATGATGTTCATATTGAAGAACTGTCTTGAATTCTGCCTTATTTATCTGTTGTTCTCACAAGGTCCAGACCCCTCATCCCAAACCAGAACCATAAGTCGGGACCTCGGAGTAGTTGGCGCTATTTCAAGATGTTCTCAACTTTCCTCGATTAGGGAATGTAAAAACCTAGATGCTATTTTGGTGGGCAGGTGTCTTGAGGCCTGCCCGGGGGTATCGGTTGAATCTCCGCTTCCTCAACAGTAACGGCTGTAACAATGTCCATCTGAATATACGGACCTTCCACAATGACTGGTAATGTGTGATCGTGCACTTCGACCGCGCTCACCCTGGGCGTCTCGTGCATGTTGGCATAAGATCTTCCCCAGCCTCTCTGCCCACCATGTTTCCACCACCACCATTCCTTGCGACCGCTGCTGGGAACAATACTTGGTTCAGGCACTCTTCTACTAACAGGACCGCTGATAATTACAGTGTGTCCATAATCTCGTATTGGTGTTCTGACAAAGGCGAACTGATCCAGACCCGTGTTATGCGCGTCTTGTGGCTCGCTAAACACGATAGTTGTTATCCATAGAACTGAGTTGAAGAGCCCGTTTGCAGCCAAGATGGACCCCGCGAAGGCAAAATATAATATTCCAAGGTCAATACCGAGTAGAGAAGTAATGCGGCCGATGATTAAAGGGGTGCTGCAAGCGACGTATACGAACGGGTAGGCAAGAAAGGCTGGGTGGTAGCCTGAGGGACGTCGGACTTCCGGGCTCTGACCGGGTTCGAACCCTGATTCGGAGGCTTCGCTTTGTGACGCTCTCTTTTCCGGCAGGTGGCGACAACTCCTTTTTTGACGCCATAGAGTAAAGAAGACGAAGGAATAGAGGCTGAGTGTAAGGACAATGGAGACAATGACCCAGAAATAATGAGCCCAAAACCGCCATGAATCATAAGATGTAGAAATCCAACACCTGTACAGATGTCGAATTAGTGTGAGAACTCTCAGAAGCCGGAGATGTTAGAACCAAAGTAAGGGGGTGCTGGATCTTAGTTACCAAACGTTGGCCCGCATGAAAAAAGACTCCTGGGGAACTGCTGGGTGGATCTCCGAAAATATTACGCCTGCTCCGTTGATACCAAAGTCGAATATCCAGAGAAACCCTATCGAGGCATAAATAGTCCACGGTGGGGGCTTGTAACCCAAGCCCACTGTTAAAAAGGTGTTGACCGAAATAACGGCTAGAAAGAGGCTTGCTGCTAAGTTACTGGTTGATCCCAGCCAGCCCTGAGCCCAGCAGACTGACGAAGGTGCAAAGATGCCGTCAGCTGATACCCAGGATATACTAAGTGCGTAGGCAACAGCCTCCATCATATCCGCTAGTAGGAGATTGTAGATGAGAATGGGAAAAGGATTGCGAGCTTCCTCAACCTCTTGCTCGTCTCGATCCCCAGTGGCACTAGCAGCCTCTGCCGCTCGTTCTTGTGACGCTGCTAGTCTATCGAGCTCCTCAATCCGGGCAAATCCGCTAGTTCCTGCACAAGGAGCATCCAGCCCCAGAGAAAGGTCTGGTAAATCGGTAATTTCGGCATCTTGTGGTCGTGTACTTTGTTGCCTTTGGGCCTGGCGGGTTTTCCGGTATGCCAACAACTTATATGTGATGAAAAGCCAAAGTCCCGTTGTGGCTATGGCTGAGAGAAACGAGAAGATGGTGAGTACAATCAGTCCACGGCGGTGATATTCCGGAAGTGGTGCCAGCGTCCCCCGTTGTGCCGCGGCTGACATGACAATCTGACTTCTTGGAAAGAAGAAGGGCGTCGGCCAGGCAGTAACCTCTGGGCAGAATCTACCAACACCCGCCACGTGGGACACATGAACATATATGTTCCTGTCAAGCTGGGCACAACTTTCCCCTCAAATCCTCTCCGAAGTCAAAAGGAACACTTGACTCGTGCGTCACATTCTTGCTCAAAGGCCGGTGGTCAAGCATATCGAATTCGAGGTCCTCACAAATTCATGGAGGAGGTTAAAGCCGAAACTCTGTTCGACAAACGCCAATAAGGATAGTCTGTTCTGTGCGAACCAGCCCAACTTACGTTGTTGCAAACTCTAAGCCGCGTGGCATATCCCTGAGGTGCTGTTTCACAGAACCTGATCTCGCGCTACGTAGTGCGAATCATAAACGCAGATACAGGTTCTTCGCCAATGATGGAAGACTAAAACAGGCTGGAAGGCAGAAAATCGGGCCACTTGTAGATCTTTTCTGTAGTGCATCTCAAAGTCGATGAATAAGTCGCATGGACCACATCCGCGGAGACATTCGCTGTTCGGTGGATATGGGTTCCCCAAGTGTTGGTATGCGTGGTGCCTGATCCGGACGTCCTCGTGGCGGAATAAGCATCATTCTTGTTACGTAGGATACAAGTGCTTGACTAGTGAATGTGCGACTTGTAATCCGAACTATCCGGTATTTCCGATAGTCGCGTTAGCCGAGTAAAGAATGAAGAAATAGACGTAGAATGATTAGGTAGTCTATAACTATCCGTTAACTTGCTATTCTAGCCTATTCTAGCACGATACCCTGAGATTGAAGACTTTTCGTATGCTTTTTGATAGCCCGGAATCCAAACCATGCCATCGCAATACCAGTAAAAAAGATTACAGACGAGGTCAAGGCTACCCATATCACGCTTTGCACGTAGCCCTTTGTCCAACCTCTTCTCGCTGCGCTCTGTAAGTCGTCAACATTCAACATGTCGACTCCCTCTCTTGTCAACACTTCCCAGACGTAATCGCGGTGAGAAATTGGCCAATTGGGCAGGTCCCAATACCGCGATTTGAGACCTGACCACTTTGCAGTACTGATCTGCTTCCGTAGCTTTGCAAGTTGCTTGGCACTGAAGCCGGTGCGGACTGATCCGATACTTTGTTGGAATGATACGGATGTGTAATAGGTGTCTTGCTCATGCCACAGCTGAGAGGCAAAGTAGCCATAGTCATCGTACTGGCGCCAATTGTCCTCAGGAAGTTGGTCCAACGGCGCGTCGAGAAAGGTGTCGTGATACTGATGATAGAGCTCGTTCGTTGGCCAATGGTTTGTCATGCGATCTTCCATAAGATTGCCCGTGCCCACGATGGTCACAGGACCTGGCCACATATCTTGCTTGAGTCTGAAGCCTGGCTCAGTATTGACCACCTCGAAGCGTGTGAGAAAGAGCTTTTCTCGAAGGGGCCCAAGCTGCTCCATCACCACTGGCCACGTCTTATACGGATCACTCTTGACATCCAGGAGCAAGACTATCGTGATATTCGGTTGGCTTCGGAAAGCTCCCTGCGCGCGATCCGTTCGGCTGAAGTTCGACCACTGCTCTGGAGGATTCATGGTCTCGAGAATCTTCAATAAGGGATCAAGATACATGGATCGCAAAGTTTTCTTGGGGGACAGCTCATGTCTGTCATGACCAATAAGTAAGTCGGAACCGTCGTCGCTTAGCCAGATGTCCGCTTCCACACCGGTACAGCCCGCTGCCAGGGCCGAGTAAAGAGGGTACGGCCTCCAGTAATCGTTGTGAGAATGACACATGATTGGAATGACTGAACGTGAAAAGTCCTCCAGCCATCTTGAAAGACCATCGATTGGCTGACCATTCGTTGTGATGGGGTTGTTGGAGATGAAGTTTTGGGAAGCAGCGTCACTCAAAGCTTGAGGCTGTAGAACAAATGTGAAGACATATAATAGAGTGCTAAAGGAGGATGATTATCATCCACTTCGGGTAAAAAGATAATGAGTTATCAATGAGAACCTACATGAGGATAGAACATGCGATAGTTGCTGCCACTCCCAAGAAGAGTAGCTCTCGAAGGAGTGATGGCTTTAGCGGCCGTAGTCGCTGTGCAGACTTGATGCACTTTTGCAAAAAGTATTTCAAACGATATACCTCAATCAATTCCGTTGACTCAATTTGTGATGATCGTGAGCTGTCCATATGCGGCCTCATCGTTGTGTTGTTACTGCCTGGCGAAAGATCTCCCGCCGAATGCTCTGTCACCTGTTCCCTAGGAACCGAGACTCTGAGCCGGTCCGTAGCTCTGGGGAATTCACAGGAACGTCACAGACGAATGTGTTACAACGTAGAACTGGGTTGCCCAAGTAAGGGGTTTCCAGTGCCTTTATCTTTCGAATTTTGTTTGCCTCAGTACAGGTAATCTAAAAAGCTTAGCCACAAAGGGGCTCCAAGCTTGCGACCTCGACACGCCCCGGCTGTTTAATTAAAATTGATGGAAGCAAACGGAGGAAAAAATCGAAGCAAACGGGGATTTGAAACCCCGTTGGACGCTTTGTCGACTCACTGCGCACAGTCGTTTTCGTCATCAGATTCAACCTGGTGCATCGCCCGGGCTCTCCGTTGGACCCAAGCTTCACAGCCGATCTCTTCGTACTTTGGCTGCTCCCCTTCCTTGACGCAGGTGTCGATCACGCCACAGCTTTCATGCAGGCCAAAGCCAAAGAAGAAGGGCATACTGATGCGCTCTTCTCCACTCAAGTTCTGGGCTCGATGCACTGTGCTGACGTAGAGATCATTTGTGATGCGCTGCAGGTAGTCGGCAATGTTGACGACAAACGTTCCAGGGATGGGTGCGGCCCTGATCCATTGCCCCTGGCGGTTTAGTACCTGCAGGCCCCCGACTGAGTCTTGCCATAGAATGGTAAAAAGCTGAAAGTCTGTGTGTGATCCTATGGAAACTGTCTTATTGGAGTCCGAATCCACGATGGCCGAGGAACTGAGAGGCGGGTAGTAGTTCAGCGCCAGCGCAGCATCAGGGTACGCGAACTTTGCATCAAAGTGATCCTCAGGTAGATCAAGCGATAGCGCAAAGGAGCGGACTAGGACGCGAGCGAGCTTCAAGCAGGATTGCCAATACCGAATAATGGCTTCTTTGAAGTCTGGCTGATTGGCCGTGCCATCCCAGTGAAAGTCCTCAATCCGCAAAAGCTTTTTCGCCTCCTCGGGAATGGCATCGACGTCGGCCACATCAGGGTCGTGGCGAGGGTCGTATGTCCAGCTGAATGACTCGCGGACATCGACGCTCTCTGACTTGTTGATCCGCTGGGATCCAGGCGGTTTGTAGCCATTGAAGTAGCGACTCTTGCCAACCCACGAGCGCATCTTGGTCTCTTCATCCTGGCGAAAGTATTCTAGGCAGGCCGTATGAGCTGAATCGGTGACTGAAGGGGCGATGCCATGGTTGACCAGGTAGAAGAAGCCGGATGTCGTAGCAGCGTCGCGGATCTGTTGCGCTACAATCTTCCGGTCTGTAAGTTCGGGGCTAAATGCGAGCGAGACGTCGATGACTGGGATCTCGGTAGGAAGAGCATCGCGGAGCGGAGTCCGAAGGATGCGGCGGGTTACCGGTCCGTTCCCGGAGGCGAAACGCAAGAGGGTGGTCCCCGGGTCAGACGTAAAAGTTGTGACGCTCATTGTGGGCTAAATAAACATTGAAGAATTATTAGCACTTAGAAACAGCTACGTTCGAGTCAAGGCAAATCAAGTTCATCCTCAAAGTCAAGAGGTGATTTTATGGGATCGAGAGGATAATTTGGGCGATTTAACAGCTGAAGTATGCGGGGCGATACAGGCGATAAGGAAAATAGCAAAACCAGAGGTGGGGGAGTTGGGCTTCATGTCATTGGCTTGAGATGATGTTGCTGGTGATTATCGTCGGAGGTGGCCGACAAGCTCTGGTTCCTGATTCATTAACCTTAATGGGAGCACGTGGTAGGCCGATGCTATTGAGAATAGTTCGGTCATTCAGATGTTCAAGTAGCGAAAGTCGACGCGAGCCCCAAGTACGCCGGCCCGAGTTCGGCCACTTTCATGTGAGTTTACGGTGGTCCCTCAAGTCGAGATCTTTCAGTGGTGATCATATTCATTCGATCTACACCACTCTACCTCAAGTCAAGGTGTAGTAGGAGTATGAGGTTCTTCCTGATTAAGACTAAAAAAAAAAAACTAAAAAAAAACTGTAGTCAAGCTTGTCCTTGACATGGAGAATAGAGGGGGTTTCGTGAGTTCGTCTCACTCAGTGTCTCTCTCTAGGAAAGTCTCCATCTCAGCAACCCATGTAAACAGCTAATCAAAGCCAAAGATTAGTCCTTGTCGTTCCATATTATAAATAAGCAAAGGGATGTAAGGGTGCATACCATTGGCGTAAAGGGAGTAATTATCAGCATTCTGCAGAGCCCGTTCAGGGGGCAACGCAACGCTGGCGTTGTAAGCATAAGCGTAGTCGTCCGTGTGAGGAGCATAGACTGCCTCGCAATGCGTTGTGTCGTGAATCGTAGTCGTGGCTTGACACTGTCGGTGGCATCCTACAGGGAGCGGCGGCAGGCCGAAGAAGAGCGGACACATAACCATTGTGTTGACGTCCCAAGCCGTGTAAGCATTGAGAGGACCGTCGAGCTCGCAGACGCCGTAGTAATCATAGCAGAAGTAACGAGACACTCCTGAAGTGGTTGAGCTACACTCCTGCGCAACGTTACGAAGCCGGTTGACGACGATGTTGCGCGTTTCCGATGAGTTGGTGCCAAAATACTCGACAAATCGCTTAGATGACGGGTCAGCTGCATCCGCTGCAGCAGCGAGGGCGAGGACCTGACAGTTGGCCAGGGCTTTGGTGCTGGCGCCCAACGTTGTCGCGTTGCATCCTGGCTGTAAGTTGGTGCGCTCCTTGAGCGCCGCAGTTATCAACGACTTTGCGGCAGCGTCTGCATCCACGTCAACTTGGATGGTGTTCGATCTGAAAGCCACGGCAGGATGAGAGAAGTCTGTAGATGGTGCTAGAGCAATCGGGATGATGCCCTCAGCGGTGATAGAGTAGGTGCCAGATTGCGCAAACTGATGAACCTTTGCTGCGTCGATCGAGACCGTCACTGAACCCCCAACTGGAAGGGATTCGAAGTGCTTAGGCTTCAGCGCGTCATACTGGATGCTAGGCTCAATGCCCCTAAAAGAGACCGCGTTCCCTTTTGGCGCGTGAGCTACGGGTAACTTTCGTCACTATAGCGCTACTGACCTGACTCGTCAACGATGGACACACGCTGGACAGGAAGCTTGTCGTCCAAGATGGTGCCAACCTTGAGCAGGTTGAGGTCCAAGCTGCCAGTGTTCTTGATGGTGGCGGAAACCTCGGCGCCAGATTCGGATACCACAGGTGCGAGGGTCACCTCCAGTGTTGAGTCCCGCTTAGAGTACCGGATGCCGTGTACGTTGGGATGGCCGCCGGCGATGGACGCCAAAGGCGCGAGTGCAAGGACCTTTCGCCACAACATCTCGGGAACTGCAGCGACTCAGGATAAGAACGAGGTCAACAGGAATCGTCACTGCATGTGGTGTTGTGGTCTCTTTAAACTGTCATTTGATATAAGATAGCCAAGAGCCCAAGAGCCCAAGGACATATGCAGCTCTGCAAATCCCCTTAATCAACCTTGGCTAGAAGCCCGTATTGATTTGTATTGCCGGGATAGATAAGATATAAATGCCCTGACTTGGCAGCCAAAGCTCGTATTCGACCAGGATTGAAATGTCGAAAATGGCAGGAGGTTTTGCCGGCATTCTCAAGGTAGCATCGGCCCCTGAAGTGGGCCATGGCAGAACAAAACACAATGCTTCACGTTACCATAACAGAGAGTGCTTAGAGGATCTGACATCTCCAGACTCAAAGTGACATGAATTATCAGACTTGATATTCTGAGCTGTGTGCCGAGTCCCGATCCAATTAGCCCGACGGAGCTACGTATTAGGCTGTACGGAGACGGCGGCGAGGGTCAAAAGCCGGTCTATGGGTTCCTTTTACTCGTATTTACAACTGTGTTATCGTAAGGATGGTCAGCGCTCGACCTCCTGTACAAAATCAATGTACACTCTAAGCTGAATGATGAAAGGAGCCTTCATAGTGAAAATGACCGCTTCAATTAGCCTCTTCCTATGCACTTGCAGATGACCAGGCCAGCGAATGCTAGTCAACCCGCAGCGCCACTGTCCCGCCCAAGTGGTCACAAAAGCAGCGGCCTCTCGACCAGCGCTTGTTGTGCAGGCGCCCCGAGGCGAACCGGCCGGAACGCGGAGATAAACCCTTTCAACAGCCTGTGTCAGCCGGGGAGTGTCGGCCAAAATGTTCGTTCTATTCTCCACTTCCCCCACTGCATCAACATCGTGACAACTTGTGGAGTCGAGATTGTGGCTTCTTCAGTGTTGTCTAGGACAGGATTGGCAGAAGGGCTTGTTCAATGGTGTTCTCATCCCAAGGGCGGATTCTCGCGCATCTGTTTCCTCATGGCTGGGGCGGCCCGCGATTCCGCGTCATTGCCATCGGTGATTTATCAGCCTCCATATCTCATAAATACATCGAGTGACCCCTTGACTACTGTCCCTCCATCAGTCTTCCATACAAGTCTTAATAGGAACCAAGACCTTTGTACACACCATCGCCGACTCCAGAATGTCTGCCGAGATCCTGACCCTTCGCTGGGGCATCATCGCCACCGGCCTTATCTCCTCATGGTTCGTCGAGGATCTAGTACTTGAACGCTCGAATGCAGGGGCCAAACATATTGTCCAGTCCATCGGGTCATCATCGCTTGAGAAGGGCAAGGCATTTGTCGAGAAGCATCTCCCAGGAAAGACACCGACGGTTTACGGTAGCTATGCGGAGGTCTACAACGATCCCAACGTCGACGTCATCTATATCGGCACACCACACGCATTTCATAAACAGAACTGCCTCGACGCCATCAACGCAGGCAAGCATGTGCTTTGCGAAAAGGCATTCACCATTACGGCCAAGGAGGCGCGGGAGGTTTTTGACGCCGCGAAGACGAAGGGCGTTTTCGTGATGGAGGCGATGTGGACGCGTTTCTTCCCCCTCACGAGGTCTCTGCTCAATGTCTTGCACTCAGAAAAGCTGATTGGCGATATTCACCGCGTCTTCTGCGACTTCGCTATGAACATGAATCTCGCATCTTTGGGCCCAGACTCGCGTCTGAAGAACCCGGCTCTCGGTGCAGGAAGTCTTCTCGACATTGGCGTGTACAGCTTGACCTTTACGATTCTGGGTCTGGACCCCGGCGTTGGAGATAAAGCTGAAAAGCCCAAAATCTCGGCGACGCAAACTCTCTCAGACGATATCGATATCGCAACATCAGCTCTGCTTCTCTACCCCAGTGGCAAGCAAGGTATCCTGACGGCTTCGACGCAAGTCAAGACACCACCAGGATTCTGCAGGATTGAGGGAAGTAACGGATACGTCATTGTCGAGGGCATCGCGACTTCGGTTCCCGGCTCTTTCACAGTCTACTCTTCCAAGGCTACTGGCGAGGGATGGGTCGACTCCGCGACGGAAGGTCTGAAGTCGAAGAAGTTTGACTTCGACCGACCAGGAAAGGGCTTTTACTGGGAAGCGGACGCGGTGGCGTTGGATATCGCTGCTGGCCGCACAGAAAGCGAGATCATGCCTTGGGCAGAAACTGTCCGTGTCATGGAGATTTTGGATGAGATTAGGAAACAGGGCGGTGCCAAGTTCCCTCAAGATGATCAGTAAAAGGGCTTCGAGTGAACTGAAAGTATTAGATACCACAAGAATTAAACTTGAAATGCACAAAGTCTTCCAAGTTGCCATCAGTACACAAGTGCCAGTAAAAGCTTTAACGGCGACCCTCGATAATAATCGAGGACATTCATCTCTCATCTACATTCTTTCTCGGAATTTGGCCCAAGAATCTACTACCACGGACCTGCCTGCATATACTAAAAAGCCCCTAGCAAATACGACAGCAAGGTAGAGTCCCGATAAGGCAGTCGGTCCAAGAGATTGCAGCATCTGACCGCCGATTGGCATGGTCAAGAGAAGCGAGAAGCTTATGACAAAGTTCATTGTCCCTAGACTGGTCAGAAGACCGAGAGATGTGGTAATATGTAGTAGAAGCGAACCATAGTATCTTCCATAATCTTTCGCTTCATAAGTCTTCGCCACACAGGTTGGTACCGTAGAGGGTCAGTCAGCGATAGGATACAAAACCTTTTCCAAGAAGGTGTCAATTCGGAGTGGCTCAACTTACCAGGCGCGAGTGATAAGAATAATCCAGTACCAAAACCCCAGAAAGCCGAAAAAGCATACAAGACTTCGATACAAGTCGATCCAAACGCAGTAAGCGTTGCAGCGGTGCAAATTATCGTGAAAACAATCATGACCAGGAGGATGTCGTAATATCCCAGGCGATCACCTACCAAGCCGGGAAGAATACGCCCGAGAGATGAAAGGCCGTTGAGGATAGCTAGCACGTTGAATCCATGCTATATAGGAAATCCCGATAAAGCCACTAAGGTTGGAAGAATTGCCGTTGCGCCGAAGATGACAAACTCGAGAAGCGCTATGGCGCCGCAGATGAGCGAGAAAGATAACGAGTGGAAGGCAGAAAAGTCCATCACAGCTTGTTTTCTGCTCTTTTTTGGCGGATGCTTCTTCAGGCTTTACCATAGCATGCAGCTTCTGGAAAGGAAGGAGGCAGGCAATACTTAAGCTCATTTTAAGGACAGCCAGGAATCCCATGGCTCTCATAGACCACTCCCATCCCCACAAAGGGAACGTCCGCCTTAGAGTCAATGGAAATACGATCCCGCCAGTAGAAGAACCAGACAAGGCGATACCGAGTGCTAGCACCTTACGACGATTGAAGAGTTTCCCAATCACAGCAATGCCTACAGTCGTAGCGATAGCAATGCCAATGCCTCCCAGAACACCCAAGCAGAGGATGAACTGCCATATTCTTGCGCATTCGGCGACCATAAAGAACATCAGAACGAGTAGTCCTGTTGCGAGCGGTCCAAGAAATTTTGGCCCGTAGACGTCCATCAGCGGTCCTGCCTGAATACCAAGAAGTATCGTGAGAAAGCTGTAGACCCCTGTAATCCAACCAACATCACAAGCGGAATAATCTCTCAGTTGGTTCTGTAAGATAAACGACTGTACTGCCCCGGAAGATTGCATAAAGCCTATGAAGCTGGTCATTAGTACCAGTTCTTACCTGATTTGAATGGAGTTGGCTGGTATCTGGGGAATCGGATGTGCTCACCGAAAGAAGGCATCAGAAATAGGAATGACCCGAGAATATAGACCCACGCCGAGTTCCGATATTCGATGTCAACGCCATGGTGCCGCTTTAGTTCTTGTTGGGTCACATAGCTGCCTTGGGATAGTTGCCCCGAGAATAGTCTGTGTTTTTGCGCTGAGGATGACATGGCCTCAGAAGATGTAGAAAGCATCCCAGTATTTCAGCAGACGAACACCATCTACCTTCATGCCAGAGGATAATGTTACTCTTACTTCGGCACCGAAAGAGACAGTCATGGGTTTTCTTGACTTCGTCCGAGAAGCTTTGTAACAGCGGAGTTGGCGGAGTTGGTGTGCATACTAACTAAGCTGGCTACTTATGGATCAAGGTGGGCTGGCACGCTTGCCTCATTCGGCATTACTTCCAACGTCTACTTTAACAGGCCATTTCTAATGCGGAACTCCTCAACTCTCACCTGATCCGTCAAAGCTTCAGCCTTTTAGAACGGCGGGGAATGAGCGACGATGTTTCCAGCTGACGTCCGCTCAAACCACTGATTTCTCATTTCTCGCAGCTTGCCCTCGGGTTCGTCGCCACCGTTGACGCAACTCAGCCTTGAGCAGGTTGAGTTGCGGATGCCAAACATGCCAACATCTTCGACCGGGAGTTTCTTGAATGCTCAATGAAACAAACTTGGGCCGGCCAAACTATGTTCGATGGCATTTGATTGTGGCTTTATTGCATTTCCCTCTTGAAAGAATTCCTTTCCCGGTTTGACTTGTACGGAATTTGTGCATCCAATTTAAATCATGAAATATAGATCTCTCAACTAGCAGCACTTCATCGTTCTATGCCAGCTCAACTTGTTTAACTTTGCCATCCTTCTTAGTCTCTTCCTCCTCACCGCCCTCTACATCTTCGACCTTGGCATTTCCGGACTTACCCTCGAAGACCTCACGAATTTCTTCCAATGTGTGTCCCTTGGTTTCGGGAAAAAGAAACCATATGATAACGAACAAGACTCCCAGAACACAGCAAAAAACTATATAGTACTTCCATGCGATCGCCTTCATTGCAATCGGGTTGACCTGATTGCCGATGATCAGTCCGGTGAAGGCAGTAATGTATGTGACCGACAAGCCGCGCCCACGAAGGGTGTATGGGAAAATCTCGACAGGGTAGGCTTGTAGGAGCGGTGTCCAAGCAATGTCGTAGAAGAAGTAAAAGATAAAAATGAAGGCTACGACTGCTCTCCCAGTTCCTTCGTCATGGCTGGCGACGAAGTGAGACGTCAACCCGGTCCAAGCGATGTAACTCGCGAGCATGCCTGCCGTGGAGATCAGGAAGAGCGGTCGTCGACCCAAGCGATCTACCATGAGCGCTCCGAGGAAGGTCGAAATGATCCAGTTGAAGATTTGCAGCATCCCGTTGATCAACGTCTGGTCCTTGACTTCAGTGATGCCGATAGTGTTGAGCACGAGACTCAGATAGTAGCTGACCACTGCGACTCCGTTCCACTGAGAGCTGAAGCCGACAATACAGGCGATCAGTGTTCGCTTTCGGTTGGCAGGGGTTCGCACGAGTTCGAGCCAAGATGATTGGGACATGGCTTCGGCCTCCTCGCCTAGAGTAAGTTCGACTTCGCGCATCTCAAAGTCGACCAGAGGGTCATTGAGGTTGCCGCCAGCGTGACAGTCGGCGAAGACCTTTCTGGCTTCATCTTTTCGACCACGGCTCATCAGCCAGCTACAGTAAGCGGTCAGTAAGGCTAGGATGTGTACAGTTAAGATACTGGAAAAAGCTTACCGAGGGGACTCGGGCAAGAAGTAGACACCCATAAGCTGGATCACAGGAACTGCTCCTTGTAGCAGAGACGGGATTCGCCAACTCCACGTAGACGCAATCTTGAATGTTCCAAAGGTACACCACGCTGCAAAAATGGAGCCAAAATACTACGCAGGATAGTCGTCAGTAAGTCTCCAAGACTGTTGGGGCCTTCTCAAAGATCCAACGTACAAAGAATGTGTTGTACAAGGCTGTAATTCGGCCTCGGTGGGTAGGGTACGCCAATTCTGTGATGAGAATAGGGCTCGGCTGGCTGATAAAAGTGGTGAAGAAACCTAGCAAAGCTCTTGCGACGACAAAGCTTGGAAGGTCCTTGGACATGCCTTGCAAGATGGCAAACCCGATGCAGGCTGCCAAGCCCAGAACGAGAGGGAGCTTCCGACCGTATCTGTCCGAGATGTACGTTACGACAAAGAGCGCTACAACTTTGCCGAGAGGGTAAACAGCATTCATCAGACCAAGAATGGCGCCCTCGGGGTTTCCAAAGAATTGGCGCCATTGGGGGAGGGTTTGCAGGCCGTTCATCATCGACCCTTTCTCTCGTCAGCTTGACGATCCACAAAGTTGGATCGAGAGCACATGCCATCGTAACCGACAGACGCAGAAGAGAACAAAGGTACGAGCAGCAACAGGTTCAACTTCAGTAGATGAGGCGTCAAGTACCACGGCTTGGGATTTGCGGGTAGAACCTAATTGTCGCGTGTCAATAGTTTCTCACTTCAACAATCAAAGAGAAATTCACGCACAGCTGCAAGTGCCGACCCTGCGGCCAACTCTGCTCCCGTCTTCTTCGAGAACACGCCCATTGTCAAGGTTGGTTTTTCTGCGCGATCTCTTGAGGTTGTCAACGCTAGTTTGTTAGTAGAGGTGTTCAGGCTCCTGATTGAAGTGACAAGGATGACTTGAACTTGAGAACACGACGAGATGCCATCATGCTATTTATCTACCTCGGGAGAGCCATCGACAATGCAACCAACTCCAGGTTTGCCAGCCACCGCCTAGAGTCCAGATCAGACCAGATTCTCGGTAGCTCTGCACGGCTTCATGACCCCGGTTCATCCCCATGGGGTAAACGCGGGACCGGAACTCGGGATGGATGTTCTCAGGAAGTCGGAGACCAGGGAAGTGTGCGGGGAAGAATGTACCGTCGCGGCCTACAACATTTCGGGACGCGTCCTCGACCGAACTAGGTGACCTTAAATCTGGCACTAACAATTTTGGCGTCTCTCCGATACTCCGCGGGCAGCAGTCCGGTCTTAGTTGGTCTCGGGGAGTATCGGAGCTTGTATACCTTGAGATGCTTTGACTTCTCCAGTTATTGCGAATCATCATTGGATGAAGCTACGAAAGCAAAAGTGGTCTCAAATCCATCTTCACGTGTCCAAGGATATTCGGGGCTCAACGATCCAGCTCAAGCTGACGACATTGCTGGAGCTGCACCCACAGGAGCTTGAGAAGATTACAAAAGCCATCACGAACACCTCTCAACATCGTAAGAGCAGGCATATCTAAAACAAAATAGTTGGCGAGAATCGTCCAGATTTCGAATCCAGATTCACGTGCATTCTACATTAACAGGCCCTCGACGTTCTTCCTCGTACATCAACGACGACGCCTGAAAACATGGTCTCCCAGCAGCAAACGCCCATCCTCAGGGTTGGCATCATCGGGTGCGGCGAGATCACCCAGGTAGCCCACATTCCAAACCTCAACTTCCTTTCTCATCGCTACCAAACCACCTACCTCTGCGATATCTCACAACAAGCTCTAGAGCACTGCGCCCGAAAGGTGCAGGGAGGAGCGCCTAAGACAACGGCTGATGCAGCAGAGCTCTGCTCTTCGCCAGACGTCGATGTGGTGGTCATTGCCAACGCTGATGCGTACCATGTCGAGCATGGCCTCTTGGCGCTCAAGAACGACAAGTACACCCTCATCGAGAAGCCTGCCTCTGTCTGTTTCCGAGACCTCGATCTCTTGGTCGAAGCCGAGAAGAAGTCTAAGGGAAAGGTCATGGTTGGTACCATGCGGCGTTTCGCAACTGCATTTACCGACGCAGTGAAGGAAGTTGGCGGCATGGAGAAGATCCAGTACGCGAGAGTCAGAGACATCATCGGACCCAACTCAACATTTGTCGACCAGTCCGGCACGTTCCCGCTGAAGTTCAGTGACTACAGCGATGCAGACACCAAAGACAGGCTGAAGCGGGAGGCCGACATCTCTGAGCAGGCTCTGGCGAAAGAGTTTGGAGTTCCCGTCACCCCTGATTCTCAACTGATGCTACGACTTCTAGGAGGGTATGTTAGCGTTCAGAAGACTGAAACAGCATCGTTACTAACAAACCCATAGGCTCGGAACACATGACCTTTCAGCCATGAGAGAAATCATCGGTATGCCGAAGAGTGTCGCAGGAGCTTGTCTTACCTTCCCTGGCATCTTCAGCGTCCTCTTTAAATACGAGGACTTCCCTGTCAGTTATGAGTCAGGCTTCAGCAAAGTCCCGCAATTTGACGCACACATTGAGGTGTACTCTCCCGAGAAGATTGTCCGCGTTGACTTCGACACGCCATACGTCAAGGGCCTACCAGTCACGGTGACCATTAGAGAACTGATCGGAAATGATGGCTTTCAAGAGCGCAAAGTCAGGAAGACATACCAGGATCCTTACACCAATGAGTTCCTCGAATTGTATGACTGCGTTGTCAACGGGAAGGCTCCGAAGACGAGTGCACTAGATGCGAGGAATGACATCGAACTGTTCAAGATGATCCTTCGAGCAGACTCCAGCAGATACCAGTAGGGTCTTGGAGAATAATGAAAGACGGGCACAATAGCCCCAATACTTCCCAAAGAGCTGCCCATAGAATTGATAATGTGAGATAACGGAAGTGTGTCTTCGGTCTCGGCCATTCACCGCCTGGCGGTTTTCATATCTGACCAATGATTCAAGCCAGATGACGAGACGTAAAACTTCTGTTCCCATCAGCAACTCGGTCGCTGCGGCCGTTACGGGCGCACCGCGTCTCGGGCTCTCAACTGCAATGCAGAGTACTTAAGCGGGATGGGAGTCATGGGATCACCGCGAGCGAATATTACCATGGTTATTATGGGTAACTTCGGAGGGACGTTGTTGAATCATCTCGGCTACGGTGACTTATCGCAAGAGAACGAGTGCAGCAACATGACGAAGCCCAATCGGGGCACGGTAAGTGGAAGTCCCAGATACATTAATCCAAGCAGCTTTTGCAAGCTTATGGGTTAGAAGTAGCCCACAGCCTCCACGACTCGCGACGCCTAACAAGCTTTGGAATCGGATCATGCACTGGTGCAGGGTGCCTGCGGAGATCTCTCAGGATCCTCGTATGAAGGAGGACATCTTTGCTCCCACAAAACTGTCGAATGGCGAGTAATGTGCTAGATGTATCGGATGAGTTCCAGCTTTGGCGAGGCCACCCTTGGTCGATCACTAAGGTTAAGTCATCTCAACTTATTCTAGACGAACCAGGTCGTGCGGATGGTGTTCGCGGTCCACGGAGTGCGAGATTTAGGTTTGTTGACCATGTATCCCGAACGAAAATACTGAGAGATGAGGACGAAAGATTCACTACATAAGGTAGGTATAAATAGAAGCTTGCTCATCTACAGATGGCTGACCACCATTCTGTCAATACACCGAGTAGCTACATCGAGTCGCAGAGCTTCTTCGAAACAAAAACCAATCTCCTACTCCTATTCATTTTTTAGATCCAAAGATACCGCATACCTACTTAGACAAAATGCTGTTCCATCCTACTCTTGCTATCGCGGCGCTGCTTCAATTCGCTCTTCCCGCTTCTGCCGCTTTCATTTTCTGTGCTGGCGCTCCTGCCGATGGTAGCTGTCCTGCTGACAAGGGAACCAAAACAAGCGTAAGTTTATAACTTCTGTCCCGCGTTAACCACTCGTCATCTCTATTAGATGTGAACTGACTCTTATTATTTGACGTAAGGTAGTGTCAAAATATTTGCGCTAATTGCAAGCCCAACTGCTTTGGAGGTTCAGCGCCAGACTTGGGCGCAACTTGTTGCGAGCAATCGGACGGAACTATCAACATATTCTGCTTCCGAACTGGGAAGAATAACTGTTAGAAATCCGAATCATCAAATATCTCTCAACCTCAAGATCAGAATGCCATGGGGCCTGCGTAATGTTTCACCTTCCGACCTCCTTTGGTACATGAACGACCAGATATGGAGCCTAAAAGACAAACCCATGCGGTGTTTACGTGAGGTGATGCCAGATTATTCCAAATTGGGAGTCTACAAAACTACCTTCTATTAGCCCGAAGGCTTGATCTCGTATTCGAGGTTTGGAGCTATGTTCAATGAACGAGAAGTCCAGCCTCAAGCTAACCACGCAGTAACTCTGCTTGCTCTCCACGAACTGACTAGCTGGCTGTCATAGCAGGCGCCGCTAGGCTACGCCCGCCAGTATTGCTTATCTCAACCACGTGGTAACAGGAACACTACTTGGACGGATCATTCGACCAACCTACTGGGATCTCTAGAAGTGGAATGAGCAGAATAGGCGGAAGAATTTTGACTTGGCAGTCACAGCCGAGATCCCGATTCTTGCAAGCCTGCCCTGCAGAAGCGTAGATCGCTCGTTGTTAATCAACAAATCCGCTTTTGCTAGCGTGAGCACTTGATGTCCCAGTGAAGCGGCGTTCCCGTCAAAGTCTGAGGATGGACGCCGTCTGTCATGAGCTGACTACACGGTAGTAGGTCCACCAGAGTTACACAAGGCCGAGCGGGAACCCAGGCACTCGGGTATCGCGCCGTCAGTACCACGCCAGATCGGCAAGTCCAGATCTACTTGGAAACTCGGGATGCTGTGTTGGCGTGTTGATTCTCAATACGCAATGTTGGCCGGAGGGAAGCTTTTATCGGATCTACTTTAGATGTTATGATCAGTTTTGGGAGTCTACGAATGCTTTCTCTTTAGCCATCCCAATATCCGTCTTTTCGATATCGCTTGTGATTCTCAGGGCATTGACAGAAAAGGTACGCTTTCTCGTCCTCGAAATGTAGACTGTATGCCAGTGACACTACTAGCTCGGTCGACGGCGACGGTAGGTGCAATACGAGCGCCGCCGTCAACTAGCAAAATAGGGACTAGAGGCTTATTAGCATTAACGATACCCGACAGGCGAACGTTCAAGCCACACCGGGCCACTCCTTTGTCAAAGACAATCCTCACACATCACCCGTTTTTTCGGATCAAACAAAGAGTCTTTGAGAAAAGACTCGCGCTACAGTTTGACGCATGGTTGCTATTTTTGCCCTGGTATGATGCCCAGAGTCCCAAGAGTCAGGTTCGCAGCGTCAGTGGCCGAACTCCAAAGATTTCTTCCCGAGAACCGAGAGCGAGGTGCGCCTAATTCTGCAACGACTCCGTTAGCTTCTCGTCACTAGAGTGACAATCACACGATGAATGAGGCTTTTCCGTAGCTCAAAGAATTGGATGTTGGATAATCCAGGCCTAAGGTTCTCTGGCTAGAGGCAATCGTGGCAGGAAAATGTATATAACTCGTGGAGAGATTCGACCGATTCAACTCTTTCCACTACACTCATCACAGTCATTCATCACAATCATTCCTTCTTCTTCCATCTTCACAATCATTGACTTTTCATACTGATAACAGCTTTATCTTTCCAGCTTCCAAGATGCGCTCATTTACCGTTCTCGCCGCCTTGACGGCAACTGGCTCGGCTCAGCTTTTGTCTCTCTCTGAGCTAGCCAGCATCCCGGTCTCGACTGTGCAGACTGTCCCCATTGGTTTTGGCAACCAGACTGTTGCAGCAACCAAGAGAGACGTCAACAACTTGGCCGCTCGCGGCGACTGCAGCGCTCTTCCCGCTGGCAGTGGTCCGGTCCCCTCCACCGACTCTGATACGGCTTTCCTCGCCGACACGGACCTGTCCAACGCCGCTTTGGCGGCCGTTACCCCGGCTGGATGGTACCAGACTTTCCAGAACCTCCAGTCTGCGACCTCCGCCTCGGCTTACATGGGATACAAGACCTATGCCACCTACAGTCCTGCGCAGTGCGCGGCTGACTGCAAATCGAACACCGGATGCACGGCTTTCAACGTCTTCTTCGAGAGAGATCCCAGCCAGGACCCCGGCACCGCTTGCCCCAACCCCTCGAGCACGACTGTCATCAAGTGCAGCTTCTGGGGTGTTGGCATCGGTCCTTCCACTGCCACCAACAGTGGTGAATACAGGAACGACTTCCACGTTGTGATTGCTGGCTCAAACGGATATCAGCTCACAGCACCCGACTATGCCGTCACTGGCTACAACTCTACTTTCACTGACACAGCTACCATCAACGCTCCTAGCGACTGCAACAGCTACATCACCTACAGAGCCCACACCAATGCCGCATACGACCCTTCTCTTTGCGCTGCCGACTGTGCTTCTCAGAGACAAGAGACCAACCCTTTCAACGGTCTCTACTGTCACTTCTTCACCAGCTACTCACTTGTCAAGAATGGTGTCGTCCAGGCTCAGATCTGTGCACTGTACTCGCGTACTTGGGACAAGAGCTACGCCGTCAACACGGGGTACACCTCGGGCTCTGATGTCTACACCATCCAGTATGCTTACTCGTACTCTTACACCTCTGATATGGGCACTTGGACTTGCCCTCAAGGCAATGCCGCTGTCGCCTCTACGACATCGACTACCTCGTCCACGTCTCAGATCGCGACTCCTTCCACTCTTTCCACATCTACTACCTCGCGGGCCGTCACTTCTTCGACCTTGACTACATCCACCAGCTCATCTGCTTCCACGATCAAGACTTCCACCTCTTCCTCGGCCGCCGCCGCAACAACTAGCAGCACAGCGGTCTCCAGCGGGCCTATCACCGCTTGCCCCAGCCCCGTGAGCTATGTCGTAGGATCTGCTGGTGGCCTGTACGCTGTCTGCGCCAACACCGACTTCATGATCCCCAGCCCTCAGATCTACTATGGCTACAAGTCCAACGCTGACTGTGCCACTGCCTGCGAGGCGCAATCTGGCTGCACCAAGGCTGTCTACAACCCTACCACACAAATCTGCTATCTGAAGGGTAGCCCCAGCGTCGCCGCCTCCAACTGGAACATTAATGCGCCCTTCCAGACCCTCGTAAAGGTCGCTGACGGCACCTCTCTCACCAAGTGCCTGGCTCCCACTTATACTGTTAACTACCTCGGCACCACCTACCAAGTCTGCCCCAGCAGTGACTTCACCAACAACCCTGCCACGGACATCTGGTACTACGTTCCCAGCGACCTCGCCTGCATTGCTTTGTGCCGCTTGAGGTCAGGATGCACCAAGATTGTGTACAACTTTGTCACCAAGACCTGCTACAACAAGGGCAACCCGTCCCTGGCTAGCACCGGATGGCACGTCAACACCCAGTTCCGCGCCATCTACATCAACTAAGTTGACGCGTGGCATGGTATTAATAGGGTTTTGGACTCGGAACTTAGACATTCTTTCACTTTTAGCGTCATAGACTTGGCTTGGGGTTTGGAGAGAAGGCGTAAACAAAAGGTTTTCGGAAGCGTCTTTCCTGTTATGGGCATTCAAGTCACTCTTTTCTTACTTTTCTTCTATGCTCTCTTTTACAGACTTTTTTGAGACCTGTACATAGTTTTTTCACATCTTCATGGATCAATCTGCAATTTAATAGTTCAACCAATTTGCGCTTACTCGCCGTCTTCAAGCGTGTACTACAATATTTACATGAGAATACTCCAATGGTGATTTGATCTGGTCTTTCAACTGCAAACAGGCTGTGTTGAAGGCTTCGACACCGCGTTTGATGGGTTTGTTTGCCCGCATCCATTGAGAGCACCCAAGGCCGTGTCGTCAACAGCAGCGTTGTACGCGGCACCGCAGTTGGGATCGCTAAGGTAAAATTAGATTAACATGATTCATTATTTATTTCCTTGAACAGGCTGAGTAAAGAACACCCGGAGATCTGCTTACCTAGCACCGCCACTGGCACTGTTGAAGTACGAGCAAATATCATGAGAGAAGCAATCTTGTGTGTAAACATTGCCAACGGCAGTTCCAGTGCACCCAGCCCCGCAGCGTCCATTGCAGGAGTAGCTAATTTTAGCGTTAGCAGGATTCAGATGCAAACATTGTAGAGGCAACTTACTCTCCAGACCCGGCGAGGTTGGTGCCGTAGTTGCTTCCGACTACACCAGTGAAGGTACACGATTTGCCAGCACTGTTGGTCCATTTAGCTGTTGCAGTCGCGCCAACTTTCAAACATGTGATTGCTCTCTTGTCAAGTTCGGGAGCTGAGGGGGCAGCCAGTGCCATTAAGGGACACAAGGTCATTGCGAGTGTCAGTTGAGGCAACATGATGGTGAGCTAGGAAAGAGTGAACTTCGTAAAGACCAAAGAGAAACCGGAATGCACAATCAATTCTGAAATCACAGCATTTGACACAGATTATAAGCTATATAACCAATTCAGTTAAATTCAGTCCGCGCATAGAACAACTTAGATGAGAGTCTCAGTTTCGCCGATTGATATTGCGGTCAACTCCGAGGCAACGGAGCAAATCCACGTCGGGAAAGTGTGTCGTCTTGGACGATATTGCTTCCCATACTTTTGACAAGGCCAATAGCATTCTGTCGAATGAAATCCGGGGTTGATGCAATGGCGCCATCAGTCGTCATCGGCAGTGAGCCAGTAAGGGCAAGGTTCCGGAGAATTTCACGGAGAATCATGTTAAGCCTCGTCAGTGAAGAATGATGATCTCCCGCTCGGCCCGGCTCTTGAACACTCGATGAAGATAAAAAAAGTCGTTGCTGTCTGCTTTATTTGGAGTGTAATATAAGTCCATGATTCTGAGAGTACAAAGAAACTGCCTCAATCCCTGGGATAAGAAGCCCCACGACCCATACCAGTCCAGCCGAGACGTGCTACCCCACTACTTCAGAACCCGATAGTCGCATTTCGATGAGCGTTGCCTCAATGGTCTAGGGTCTGCTATTTCTCTCAGCATCATGTTGAAGAAGGTGAAAAGAAGGTTGAGGACTTGGTATGTGCTTATTGCACCTTGTGCGAACAACTAGAACGTTGCGGCTCTTGAGTTGATAGAGACAGCAGCGATTCTACCGAGGATTACCTACCAGACGCCTCCACCGTCGTCTGAGGGAAAACCATCGTGAGTCTACCGGTGCCTCAATGACCAGACTGGATTCAGCTGTGGGGCGAACTGTTCGATTACTATGGAAGAAGTACGTACGGGCCTTCACGGAGGAAGAGTTTGGGCTTATGGACCTTGACAGGACACTTTCAACGCCGTCTCTAGAGACTTTGCTCCGGCGCAACAGCTTTCCACTCGGACCACCCCGACCAACGGAGCAGCCTCTGTGAAAAGCAGAGACCTTTCTTGCAGATAAATTGACTATTTGCTCGTATTTGGTGTCTTGTAATTCCATGGTATTCGGAAGCGAAGCAGAAAGCAATGGTCTTTGTGTCGTTGTATTGCAGAATCAACCTCTATGGCGTGTACTCACTACTCGGCGACGTATGCTCTGCGAGGAAGAAGGCAATGAAGCACCCGTCTATTTCATCGTCGACGGGAAGGACACCAAGGGTTCAAAAGAACGCGGATCGTCCCTTGTGCTCCTCAAGTCTAGTGCCATTGACCCCAATGAACAAACTTCTCTTCGCTCCAGGGGACTTCGCTGCCAATTGACCCATCAGAATGCTCAGGTCATGAGCTCGGGTGGACCAGTGTCGCATCCGTCATTTGCTGATATTTTCCCACAGTTCATCTCGTGTCTGCACACCCATCCTCGCGTATCATGGCATACCCGGCCGGTCAAGATGAGCCGAACGCAACCCTTGCCAAGTGGTTGGGACCAAGGAGAAGACTAATTATGCCAACGTTCAACGGTCCAACGGAAGATTGTCTCTCACCTCAGTACATACACTAACGGCTCGCCTTCACCGCACTCAGATGACATCAATGCCCAGCGGACATCTACCCCCGAAAAGGCGTAATGTCCAGGCTGCAGGTCAGAAGGATGCGACGGTACGCGAGCTAAAACCCCGCACGCCCATCGATCTTGGTCTAGTCTGAAGGTCTGAACTGGGGGAGGACTGGGGTTGTTATATGAAGTCTCCCAAGACTTGTGAAGCCTTCTGGAGCTTCCCCCGCACCGACACAACTTTCAATCGTTCTCAACGGCGGAAATTTCTCCAGGTTTTTTTGTTTCTCTCTCTCGTCCCCTGGCCCTGCAGCTTGGCACTCTACTTAGCCCAGCCACCCCTCTCTTCCTCTCTGCAGTCCGCACCCATCTTGTGCCTTTGGAATGACACCTTGGCCGATCATCTGCTTGACTTTCTTCTCCAAAAGTCTTTCTTGTGGTTCTTGGAAGGGTCTTGGCCTTGCGCGACTTCCAACGCTCCCCAATGGCCCGGCTTAGACGCTTCGGCTTTCGGGCCAATGCCAACCGGCTCATCTCGGCCGGTCCCTTCATGAAGTCATGAAGACGGTATAAATACCTCGAGTCGTATTGCGATCCCGCAGTCTGGAAAGTGTAGAGAGACCGAGACCTTGAGACCGTTCTCGTCCCAGCATAAGTCCTCTCCAAACATGGCGCTCGCAAAGCTCTTCTCGTCCGGCCTTTTGTTCGCCTCCCTCGCCGCCTCCAAGTGGATTGTCCCTGGCGGCAGATGGCGTGACAACGAGGGGAATCTCGTCAACGCCCACGCCGGCGGTGTCACGCTCGACAAGGACACGGGCAAGTTCTTCTGGTTCGGCGAGTACAAGATTGAGGGCCAGGAGGAAGGTGGCGGTGTCTCCGTCTACAGCTCCGATGACCTTGCGACGTGGGAGTTCCATGGCAAAGCGCTCGAGCCTATCGAGGGCCACCCGTATATCTCGACCAACATGATTATCCAACGCCCCAAGGTCGTCTACAGCGAGCCCACCAAAGAGTACCACGTAGGTCATTTCTCGAACTCGAAATCAACATGGCTTCAGAGCACTAACTCGTTCCAGATGTGGTGGCACGCCGACAACTCGACGTACGGCCTCCTCCTCCAAGGCCTGGCCACCTCACCCAACATCTCTGGCCCCTACACCTTTGTCGACGCCACCGCGCCCCTCGGCAACTGGTCCCAGGACTTTGGCATCTTCACCGACTACAAGGACGGACGCTCCTACTCGCTCTACTCCAACGGCGACCGCCGCGAGGGCCGCGACGTCTACATCTCGGCCTTTAACGAAGACATCACAAACGTGACCGAGGTCGTCCACCGCTTCGACAAGTACGACCTCGAGGCCCCGACCATCATCCAGACGGACAAGAGCTACTACGCCCTCATGTCCCACAAGACGGGCTACCGCCCCAACAACGTCGTCGCCTTCCGCGCCGACTCTCTCGCCGGCCCCTGGTCTCAGCCCTTCTTCATCTCCGACGCCTACACCCGCACGTACAACTCCCAGTCCGGCTTCTCCCTCAAGATCGAGGGGTCCGAGGTCACGACGTATCTCTACCTCGGCGACCAGTGGGACTCCAACTCCCTCTGGGAGAGCCGCTACATCTGGCTGCCCCTCGTCATCGACGACGAAAAGAAGTCGCTCCACGTGGAATGGCACGACGTCTACGACCTCGACGTTAAGACGGGCGTCGTCACTCCCATTGAAGGCACGCCCTACTACGCCCACGACTCCGCCACCACCGCTGGTGCAGCCTTCAGGCAGGAAGCCACCTTTGCCAGCGGCGGCTCCATCGTGACGGGCATCTACGGCAACGACAGTACCGTTACCTTTACCGGGATCCAGGGCGCCGGCGAGCCGCAGTGGGTGTCGTTTTACTACCAGAACACGGACGACATGGGTTTCGGCGACCAGCCCGGCGGCTCGCCCGATCGCATCGGCGGGAAATGGCAGCTGCGTCGCGTGGCTTCGGTTGTGGTGAACGGCAACGTGCAGCAGGTTGAGACGCTGTTCCAGCGAGACAGCCACAAGGGCATTATCCTGTCCACGCCGCTGCAACTGACTCTGGAGAAGAGCGCGAACAACACCATCACCATTGGTGGGTTGTGGAACGGCTTTGACTTCAAGGGTGCTGATATTGACCGTATCGTCGTGTACCCTCCCGAGGGCGGCCCTGTGAAGTGCAAGAGGGGCATTGAGAATGTCGAGCAACGACTTGATTAGAGTAGTTAGCAAATATCAGTCTCTTACCGAATACCCCCGTTAAAGCGTGCCCCCCTCTGCAAGGGGTTTTGTGATAATTCATGCCTTCCGTAGCCAGTTTCATGTGCTCCCCAGTTTAATCGCTCGTCAATCTTGGCCTAGTTTCTTAGACGCAGAGCTATTCATTCAAGTACTTCCTACTGGAACCTAGTTACAAAAGCTGAGAATCGGCCCCGAGACAAAGGAAGGGCGCTCAAGTCAATTATGCTCCAATGTTGATAATTACTGCCTCCTAGCTAGGGTATCACAATGGAACCAAGGAATTAAGAAGGCTCCAACAGTCCACTTTCCGGAAATTTTGAGGCGTATTTGATCTCGTCTACCAAGTTGGCCGGCTACCTTATACGAGCGAGACATAAAGCTGCCCCAAATAGTTCTCGAGGCTAACTAGGGACGGCAGGCGAGCGCATGTAATAAATACAGAAAAACAGGACGTCGCCGAGTAAGTAGGTAGACATTCCATAGGCCATACCAAACAGAAAGGAAGAAATGTAAAGGCACATTTAATACTAAAAAGGGGAAAAAGTAAAGGAATGGAGGGGGAATACTGACCTTATAATTCACGCCCCTGCCCGGACTCGAACAGCGCGCCCCTCTGTCAACCCGAACTCTGACTTCATGGGAGTATTTGTTTTTATTTTAACCATTCGACCACCTCGCACACAGCTTGACCTGACCTCGCCGACCTAGACGGGCGCTGCTGTGCTGGTGACAGAAACGAAGAGTAGACCCCTTAAGTACCTTGGTAGGTACGTAGATGGCCTCACGTGAGGCAGAAGCGAGGCAGAGGTGCCCGGTCAGGTGACGACGAACTTGATATACGTACACTTCCAGTAGATGGAAGGAAGCTGATAGTCAGGGTCGTACCTTCTTCACTTGTGAGTGTTATATATACCCTCGAGAAGGTAAGAGTCGCGTGTCCATAATGTCCATGATCACCTTTCGTCGAGGCGATTCCTCCTTGCCTCATCTTCCGGGACTGTCATCTTCGTTGTTTAGACATGTTATCTTGCCATAGAGGCTCGATTGAAGAAACTGAGGAGTCTAGCGGACCATGCCCCCCGCGATCCACCAAGACAGTGGACACAGGCAACTACGTAGAAGAGTAGAGCAAGTCAACATCCCCTTTGATACACTGACTTTGCATCAGAATACAGGTGAGGAAGTAATTTACGGTAAGCTGTTTGCCACGGTGGATATGTTCGGATAGGGCAAAATAAATAGGGTTAACACTTTGTGATTCTTCCAGAGACAATGGTTGACATCTATCTCTCATGCCTAGTAATCAGCTCATCAATCATCCGCTGCAGCCATACCCTCTCTACAACGCCAATAATCATAAAACGCCCATTCGTCTTGCTCTACTCTACGAGGTGTGGACATCCGTCTTGGAGATGGCCTCTGTTACCGCCTCAATGGCCGGGTCAGCCTCGGCCTTCTTCTCAGCAGACTCTACCGACGCTCCAGCTTCGGCAGCCTTGGCCTTTTCCGCCTCCTTCTTGGCCTTCTTACGGGCCTTCTCGGCGTCCTTCGCAGCCTTCTTCGCAGCAGCCTTGGCCGCTGCCTCCTCCTTTTGCTTTCTGACCTCCTCGCCTCCAAAGGCGTCCTTCCACTCCTCAATCTTGGATGCCGCAATCTGAGTGAAGAGATGCTCGGGGGTACCAAGCTTGTGACCAGGCTTGATGGCATCGGTGACCCAGGTGTCGGGGATGAACGGCTTGGGCTCAACGCCGAGCTGCTTGAGGATAGCAGTTGAGGTGTTGGGTAGGTAGGGAGCCACGAGAGAGGCCAAAAGGTCGATCTGGTTGAGCGCGAGACCGACGACGGCAGCGCAGCGGTCAGGCTCCTCAGTAAGAAGTCTGTTGTCAAGCTTGTTGTCCTGGAGCAGCTTGTTGCCGAGGCTATCCATGTTGTTAGCTTACGTCAAGAAATAACCGGGAAGACAATAGGTTCACATACGCAGAAATAGACATGATGGTCTGAAGGCCAGCCCTCATCTTGGTGGCCTCCATGTTGTTGATGTACTCCTTGAGCAGGGCGTTGACCTCCTCGATGTGCTTCTTTAGGTAGTCATCAGTGTATTTCGTGTAGTCGGGAACTGCGCCTTCGGTCTTGGCCTGGCAGAACTTGTTGACTCTTTGGCAGAAGTTGCCGAGGTTCTTGAGAAGCTCGTTGTTGTTGCCGTCAACCATCTCTTGCCACATGAACTCGGAATCGGAAGTCTCGGGGCGGCGAGACAGCAAGTAGTATCTCCAGACATCGACGGGCACACCAGTCTGTTGGACCTGGTTGCCAAAGACACCAACACCTCTCGACTTGCTGAACTTGCCGCCCTCGTAGTTAAGATACTCGGTGGTGGAGATCTTGTGCAGCTTGGTCCAGTTCTCGCCTGTGCCGAGCTGAGATCCGGGGAAGATGATGGTGTGGAACTGAACGTTGTCCTTGCCCATGAACTGGTAGAGCTTCACGTCGTCTGGGTTCTTCCACCACTGCTCCCAGTTCTTGCCCTCAAGGTTGTCACCGTCGGTGTAATTCTTGGTGATGGAAACGTATCCGATGCAGGCGTCAAACCAGACGTAAAAGACCTTTCTGGCGTAGTCCTCTCCGACCTCGTGAGTCGGGATCGGGACACCCCACTTGAGATCTCTGGTGATACCACGGGGCTTGAGGCCCTTGTCGATCCAGGCTTGGGTGATCTGCTCGGCATTGTTGCTCCATGCGCCCTTCTTGCTAGACTCCTTGAACCACTTGACCAGGTCATCCTTGAGAGCGTCGAGTCTGAGGAACAAGTGCTTTGTCTTACGCTTCTCCGGGGTAGCTCCGTCGAGCTTGCAACGGGGCTTGATCAAGAAGCCGGTGGGCTTGGCGGCAACGTCGTCATCGGCAGAAGCGTTGGCTTCGGGTTCGGGCTCAAGGGGGTCAAGAAGGTTACCGCACTTGTCACACTGGTCGCCTCTAGCACCATCGTAGGCGCAGATAGAGCAGACACCTTCGACGAATCGATCAGCGAGGAAAGATTGGTGGGCCTCGACAGGGCAGAAAGGCTGAACGGTCTCGCGTTCCTCAATGTATCCGTTCTTCCACAGCTTGGTAAAGATGTCTTGGACAATCTCGGTCTGTTGGGCGGTCGGGGTTCGGCCAAAGATATCGAAAGAGATATCAAAGTAGTCGTAGATGCCCTTGTGGAGGGCGTGGTACTTTGCGCACAGCTCGGATGGGGTTACGCCTTCCTCAAGGGCCTTGGTCTCGGTGGCAGTGCCATACTCGTCGGAGCCGCAGACTGTAGCAAACGGAGTCAGCCGGGATTGGGGAATGGGAGACGCTCAAGGGAGAGGTAGTCGCAACATACTGTAGATGGTGGGGTTTCCGCGAGCACGGGAGTACCGCGCAAAGACATCAGCAGACAAGACACTGCCAATGATGTTGCCGAGATGAGGAACGTTGTTGACGTAGGGAAGGGCGGAGGTAATTAGAACATTGTTCTTGCCCTTGACGGGTAGAATGGGATTCGGCGCCATGATGTGTCTGTTTGCTGTGTCGCGAGAGGAGAGGCGGAGAGGAGGAAGAGGAGGAAAAGAAGGAATGGAAACTTGAGATGCCGACTTTCTCGGGGAAAGGAGTCAGACAGCACGGTGTGCAATTGCGCCCACGGTCAGGTACGTCCCCCACTGCCCAGGGCAACTGCCACTGCCAACTGTGAGTCGCACCTACCTGACTGACTCTGAAATGTTGCGCGAGCCTTGGACCCCGCACTATCCCCTTTTAGGATGAGGGGCACGGTGGAAAAGCTTGGGCCATTTCTCAATCGCAATCGCCGAGTTCTCATTCTTCCTCACTCACTGCTCACTGCTTACTGCTCACTCCTCACTTCCTCACTCACCAAGTCACTCATTATCTGGATTGAATCCTTATGAGATGAGTTACATCATGGGTGAGCTATATTGAAACAAAACGAGACTCTCCTGGAACTGCTTGGCTTACCATGCCCCCCAACTGAATTGCCATTGATGTCAGCTTCGGATCTTACAGCCAGCAAATGCCATAATACGCACAAAGACGTGATTACAATAGGGAGCGTTGGGCGCACTGAACAGACTTTGAGGCTGGCGAACCAATATCCAATCATCTGTCAATCGTGCTTCACCTTATGACTCCTCTCAATCGATGAACCTTGTCGTCTTGTCCTCATAATAACCTCGACATGTTGACTCAGTCAGCTAAGCTGCGTCACCTCCGCAACCTTTGTTCGCTCAGACGGCACTGGACGTGTTCGTGCTGGGCTGGTGGCGGTCACAGTCACGCGAGCACACAATCCCCGGTCTAGTCGAAAGCAGGAAGTATGTTTACTCTTCTGTTCTCTCACTCTAAATATGCACTTCGGGCTCATTATTTTGATTTCTTGTAGCGCCTTGCGATTTCCAATTCCATTAAGCCGATTTACGAATCACCAAGTGGCATCCATGATCAAAATCTCATCCTTTATTGATGATGACGACCAGAGATGCTAACAACAATCCAGTTGTCTTCGTCCGAACTAGGAAACCCCGTTCCAATTGACTTCTGCAATAAGGGACGACATAATTCAAAGTAAATGCGAAAGTCCAATTTTGTCACTGCTTTCCAGTAAAATGCCTTTGGTTCTACAAGATGAAATCAAATGCCCTGGTGTTGGTTCATGAAATCTTCTCTCACGATGAAACTGTGTATCATGCTTCCTCAGATGAATTTTGGTTATGTCGAACTAAACACCCGTACACTTCATCTCCATGATTCACCGTAACTTTTGACCAAGAAGAAAATACTTTTGCCTGATTCATCGCTATTTCCAATGTGAATCCATTCGAGAAAACAATCCCTCCTACATATTCATGAGCACATCAACGCAAATCACAAACTCTCATCATAATCCTTCGTAGGGCGCCAAATTCCACACGTCAACAACACCACTATGTCTTCCCACAGCCATCATCTTCCCATCCATCGAAAAGGCCGCCGCCGTCACTAGCCCATCGATCCCCACCGCCGTCGTCACTTCGGCCAGAACCTGTCCAGAGTACACATCCGAGATATCCATCCCCTCCTCCGTTCGACACGCCAGGAACCGACAATCCGGCGACACCGCCAGCGGCCACCCCTCATTGTTCCGGATTTTATTCATCTCCCAGCTCGATACCCGCCCAGCCTCGTGCTCCCACACATATACGGCTCTCGCCCACACCGACACAACCACCCTCCCGTCCGGCGACACCCCCAAGGCCCGCGCCCCGGTTCCCGTCCCCGTCACGATCCCATCCACCTCCATCCGCCGCAGTGTCCTCCCCGTCTTGGCCTCCGATATCCTCACCGTCCCATCCCTCGACAGCGTCACAAGGTCGGCGCCATTCGGCATAAACAGAACATGCGTCGGCGCAGCGTGGTTCATAACGCCCGCCACCTTCTTCGTAGGCGGCATCCCCGGCGGACTCGTCGCCGCCTCAAACACAACCACAACACCCAAGGGATCCGCCGCCGCAAACTTCTTCCCATCAGGACTAAACGCCGCGGGACGCCCGACACCGTTCAACGCGCACCGGACCCCTCGCCCTTCCTCCCCAGCGCGGAGCTTCACCCGCCACTCCCGCTTCCATCCAGCATCCTTCTCCACTACGGCCGTTAGTTTCCCGTCCGGGCTGAAGACGACGACGGGCGCGTCGTTACTTATGTCCGACGGCACGAGGCGTGCGCCCACGGCGCCTGGTTTCTGGGAAAAGTCCCAGATCTTGGTGCTGGATGGTAAGGCGGTGCCCGTGTTGTCCTGGGATGTGGCGACGTAGCCTTTGGGGCTGATGGCGATGGAGGTGACGGCGCCGTTGTGGCAGATTGCGCGGCCGAGGTGTTTGAGACGCAGGATTGAAGGTGGGAGAGTGCCGTCATGGAGGTTGAGGGATTGTATTGATCCCGAGACGGAGTGTGTCCTCACTGCATTCCGCTGTGCGCTGTAAGTAATGTCAGTTGACGAAGATATTGGGTGGTGTTGAGATTGTCGCATGTCGTGTGCGCGTAAATGTCAAGCAAAAGAAACTCACCCTCCAGCGACCGCCTCCTCATAGCTGGGCATCGAATCATCCGCCGGCGGGCCATTGCTGGCGTCCAGGTAAGCGCTCATGATGTCAATGTTTCTTCTCTTTCTGTTTCCTTTCAACCCAAACACAACATCCTCTGCCGTCCGGCGGATTCCCCAGTGTAACGAATGCGAGCTTTGACGTACAAGAAACAATGTGGCAGAATGATGAGGTCGGGTTGAAGGCGCTAGACGTTTTCCCCAGATCAGTCGATCAGATCAGTCATGTCACCTTGCCGAGACCCCGGTCTCCTCGGGCGGCTTGGGATGTCACCGCACACAGCCGCAATGGCTGAGCTCTTCAGACCACCCCTTGTCGCTCACTGTCTCTCCCCGCGGAACCTTGTTTGCGTCGCCGATGACCGGCGATCGCACCGGGCGCACCGGGCCAGTCGGGCTGTCTAGCATCAGAAGATGGAAGGGGTTTACCTACAAATACGCCCGGAAAATGATTGCCCAAAATGCAGGAATTCCTCCATTAGTTTGATTTCCGCCGTGACTGACAACTTTCCCAATGAAGCTGGGACACTTGAAAATTCACTCACTTGACGACTTCGTACTACGAGATAAGGATCCAAATTATATGCATTTGTAGATGGTCATTAAATGGTATTCTTTTGCTTCGCTATTCACACCACACCCACACAATCTAAATCATGCCTACTGGCCAAAAGCCTCCTCGTAGTTGGTCAGGCAGTATCTGTAGCGGACACTGGAATCCTCAATGCCGTTCATCGCCGACCTCAAGCCATCAGCGCTGATGGGAACCTCCTGCACCCACGTCTTGATGCCCTTGTCGGCAGCAAGCTGCAACATCTCCAACGTCTCGCGTCTGCTACCCAAGTGAGAGCTGCCAATGAAGCATCCGTTGGGAAGGAAGTCCTGGTTGCGAACGGTGATACCACCGCCACCGGGGAGACCGACAGACACCCACTTGCCGTGGACGTCGAGGAGGCTGAGGTAGGCAGACAGGTCGAAGCCCTCGAATGAGTTGGCCGTGTTAAGGATGAGGTCGAAGGTCATCTTGTGGGGCTCATTCCATCCCTTCTCGCCGCTCGCCAGGTAGCCGTCGGCACCCATCTTCAAAGAGTCCGCCTCCTTGGATCGCGAACGGGAAATGGCCCAGACCTCAGCACCCAGAGCCTTGGCGAACATAACACCAAAGTGACCGATGCCGCCAATACCGACAATGCCGACCTTCTTGCCAGGGCCGCATCCGTTTCTGATCAAAGGGCTGTAAGCTGTCAGGCCAGCGCAGAGCATGGGAGCAGCAATGGTGCTGGGAAGGGCCTCGGGGATGGGGAAGACCCTGTTACTCCATTAGCATAGATTCCAGTTCGAGGGTAACAGTTATGCGTACCAGTGCTCGTGTGTGCGAACGTGGGAGGAGTAGCCACCCTGGGAGATGGCGCCGGAGTCGGGGAAAGTAGAGCCGTAGGTGTCGAGCTGGTGCTTGCAGTATGTCTCGTTGTCGTTCTTGCATTGCCGGCACTCAAGGCAGGCGTAGGACTGGGCTCCAACACCGACACGCGAGCCCTCCTTAATCTTGGTGACCTTTGAACCGACTCTCAGAGCCTTTCCGACGATTTCTGAAAATAACGGAATTAGCCAACATATAGGATCTACACAGTAGACACATGGACTTACCGTGACCAACGGCTAGAGGATAGGGCTGAGCACCCCAGTCACCCTTGATGGTGTGTACATCACTGGCGCAAACACCGCAGCACTCAATCTTAATATCGACGTCGTAATCTCCAAACGGCTTGGGGTCAAACTCCTGCTTCTTGAAGTCTTGCCAGGTCTCGGCACTGTTGACCTGGAAGCCGGTGAACTTTTCGGGAATCGACATGATGGGTGAATGTGTTTGATTGAAGAGTTGTCTTATAGATTCGTCTGGCTACTCTCGAGATACGACTTTGGTCTGATTCGAGGACGTAATAGGATGGAAAGAGAGAATAGTGAGAGGAGGAGAAAGAGAAGAGAGGTTCGAAGGCTGCTCACGACAGGCAGAGGGAACCGCGCCGGATGAAATACCCTGAACATTTCCAGAGCTGCCCCCGAGCCCCCCACCATCTCATTTGTCGCGGAGCTGCGCGTGGAGCGTAGGCATCTATCCTTGAGTGAGGGGCACCTCCCAGCTCGGACGAGGAGGGGCGTATGTCGCGCCGCAATATCTGCCCATGCGAGCTAGATGGGGGCGGGACCCTTGTTCAAGGCTAGGCGCCTGTTGGAAGGAAACGATGGCTCTCCCATTCGACTCTCCCACGACTTTGCGCCATTGGCTTCCGTCCCTCGTCCGTCCGTTGCACATCGCTGAGTTTATAACGGGACTGCGTAAGAAAGAACATGTTTCTCGAAATCGAACCGATTGTAGTCGCCGTTGCCGTTCAATATCTCTGCTGTAAGCCCGTCGAGCTCGCATCCTTCTTCGTCACTTTCTTCCACCTACCCGCCCTCCATTCATCGTGTCGCGCTGCCCCGCGATGATACCCCACCATCGCCCGCCAATTGCACCCCATAACCCACCCGTTTTGAGGTGGCTCGTCCGGGGGTTGGGGAAGGAAAATTGTCCGGAAGATTTTCCGAGACCGGCTGCCGAAAATCCCACCATACAGAGCGAAGGAATACTCTCTTAGCCGTTTGACGCCGGATGGGAACTGCACGATAACATCGGGCCTGGCCTGTGCCAAAAATTCTTCGTCAAGGGGCCAACCTCGTTGCATTGGACGTCTGAAATCCCTTCTTCGCTGTATCTCGGCAAATGTCTCCGAGTGCATGTGTACCGTGCAAATGTCCCTAGCCAACCATCCAGTCCCGTCGTGCGTGCTGGCTCGATCCTTTCACTGCGCTGCATCTAATCGAGGTATGCGTGACGCCGTCCGGGTGGGTGACCGTGCCAACATGTCGGTACTGGCTCGGGGTTGTCCCAGCCTTCATTTGGATTGTCTCTCTCTTCCGGTAGCTAGCATTTTCTTTCCCCCCTTACCAATGGCGCTTTTCTTCAGTTCCTCTCCCAGGACTTTCACTTTCGGTAGCGGTTCTGTACGGACCGAACATCGGCGACTCGGGCTCGGTGCAATGATCGGGCGGTCCTCCGGCACAGGAGCAACATCCCGGCTGGATAGGATATTTGAGCTTGGCGAACGCTCCCCAATGCTCTACTGTTGCTTTCTTGCAGGTGCCGGTCGTCCGCTTAATCCGACGCCGGCCAGAAATGCGATCCTCATTGAGGCACCAAAGTAGACGAACGGGACGTTTCCCCAATCGATTGCGTTCCACTTGGTAAAGTTGTAGTACACCTCTGGCCCCAAGCTTCGAACTGTGTACAAGTGTCCAAAGTCGGCTACAAGGAGCACAAACAGGACAGTTTTCCAGACTCGCAGGTCCGAAGTCGCGCGAAGAACAAGAGCTTCATTGAGAGCAAAGAGCAGGTATAGGTTGGCGAGCTGGGAGAGGACGATCGAGGTTCCTTGGGGAATGATTTCGGGTTTCGAGACGGCGTGAGTGAGCTGGAGATAGTCGTCGGGTCGCACGTGGGCGTAATAGACGCCGACAAGAGCAGAAATGGGCTCGATGCCTAGGAAGAAGACGCGGTAGAAGAGCGGAATGACTAGGCCGATTCTACCGAACTGGGCGGGTTTGGGAGGCATTTGTGCAGCTTCTTGAGGGCGATGTGTCGTCGACAAGAGAATAAGAAGGTCAACTTCTCGTCACGAATGATAGAGGGAGAAGTATGATGAATTGAGGGGAACGTCAAGGCGGTTTCGTCTCATCACTGGGGATTCTGGCGTGACGGGCACCCTGATGGACTGGACCTCTCGTCATCGGCAGGAGCAAGGAAAAACTTGAGCTCCGGAAAGACCGGGCCCCGCCGGGGATGGGTGCGCCGGAGCCGAACTGTGAATGGCCCGTGCCCCAAACGCAATTCGGATGGGAATTTGCGATTTTACCATGGAACCTTGCTGCTTCATCGCTGCTGCAAGGTCTGCGGTCAACGGTCACAGCAGAGGCTTATTATACAGTCATTCATTGGGACAATCACCTCTCATAACCAATATATCATCCGGTGCTCTTTATTCAAGTTTGTGACTTGGCCTGAAAAGCCCCATGATCTAACTTGAAGATAAAGTAGCTGAAGAATCTGGGGAAGCAGAAAGTCACAAAGTCATCCCTGACGAGGAGGATATGGCTCTGATTCACTCTCATTTCCGAAACTTTAGTCTTGAGATGAAGACTTTCCCAGGCGCTCGCTTCTCCGCGCCGCCTTTGTGTTTCAGACGCATATGACCATGCAGTGCTCGGCAAAGGGAGCCCACCTCCATGGTAGAAGTGAGACTTTCATGTCAATACTGGGCTACAGTATAGTGGCAGAAGTACAATAGGAGCAGGCGGTAAGGCGCCGGTGAGATGCGATGGTGGGTGGACGGAATGTTGCCCTTCATTTGTCGGCTGCATAAGAGTGTGGCAGCCAATTTCCCATTGCAAAGGTCTCAAAGCCTGGTTGCCACAATGCCAACGACATCCGCCATGCTGGATCAAAGGTTGAGACATCTCTGGCCCGGAATGAGTAAGGGCTATTGCCGAAGCTGTTCTTCAATCATCCGTATGCTTCTCTGTTTTATCGCAGTGTTGTCAAATCCAAGAATCGCACACATGTCGATGCTGCTTTCTCTGACACCTGTGACCAGCCTAAACACAAAGAACCGTTGAGCAGACCGGGAGCTTGAGAGAGAGAGAGAGAGGAAACATCGGAAATTGACTTTGGATCTCCGCTTACAGGGTTGCAGGCGGCCTAGCCTGAAGGATGCGATGCGGGAAGGGTGGGATTTCCAGGGTATTTGCATTCAGGGACCGAGACCCCGGGAAGTTGGACACAATCGAGAGACATGCTGCGGCCTGCCTGCCTGCCTGCAAGTATAGATTTAACGATACCAGCTGGCTGCCAACAGTGATAAGTTTTGCAGATGAAAATGGGATTATGGGATGGGGGAGCAAAGATGGAGGGCAGCCAAAATTGGCAGTGAGACCTGACGAAATTCTCTTCTACAGGAAGTACTGTGTACGTCTCTAGTTACTGAAATATCGACAAGTTTCGCAGTTCTGTGACTCGGAAATCCGAAACACCAAGTACTGATACCTTTGCCCCCTTCCATTGTTTGACAGGCCTGACTGACACCCACCACGGCGCCCGCGAGGCCTGCCACGCTGCAATTTCACTGTGGTTGCAGCCAACCTTACGAGATGAGGCGGCGGTTCGGGATTTCGATCATGGCTTGTCCATTCGGAATGTAAACATTGCGACGCTGTGTGATGAATGTCAACAGCCACAAGGGCGCATGTTGATGTAGGAGAGTCGGTGTTATTGTCTAGGCACACTGGCTTCAAGTATCGCGGTCATTCCTCTATCATCCGATGCCCACATGATGTTGAATTGTCACGGGATGCACTCTTCTGCTGTATGTCAATTTTGTCCACTGAGATCAATCTTCACTGTTTGATCATTTGAACATCTACGACTACCAGAGCATAGAAAACCGTCCGGATCACACAAAGACGACTCGGTTCCCCGGGCTACCCCGTGCAATCTGCAACAGGCGTGGCGCACGTCCAACTGCTTCTCGCCAGCACTAGTACCTTCACAGCAAATTGAGGTGAAGTCTGACAGTGGTAAGCCCGTCGGCCAAGCCGTCTTTCATCCTTTCTCGTTCCTGTGGGTGTGTGTAGTGTACGAATACTCGCCGGCTCTTGATTTCCATCTCTTCTTCTACGCACCGTTCTTCCGCCTGTCAGCGCCAACCTGACGAGCTGGCTTCCATTGTTGTTCTTCTCAACGGCCCGCCAACTTGTTTCGTATTTACTTCTGGCGTCGCTGTTTCTTCCCAGTACGTAGGTCTGAGAAACATTAGAGTAATTAACTTGGGCAGTGTGATAACTCTTCCAGAGGCGGCCTTCTCATTCCCCGAGACCCAAGAAATAGGTACCTGGACATAAGTACGTACCGCACTCGGTACCGGAGAGGAAGGACCGGGACTTTTCTTTGCCCTTCCCATCGCCAGCTGGAGATTTACATCAACATTACTCGAAACCGTCGCCCAACAACAACAAAAGACTAGTCGCCGCCAGTCACGACACAAACCCGACGCTCGCACTTGGCTGGGGATCTGCACTGTCGCTCTTTTTTTTTTTTTCTTTTTCTTTCCCTTTCTTTGTTGACTCGCGCTTCCACACCAGGCCACATAACACGACACGACAGGGCACCCACAGCACGACGGGCAGATGCTCACCTCAGTTGCTTAGGCACCGCACGAATACCTACGCCTCTGCCCAACTTCTCCAAGGTCACCGGATCTGCCTGTCAACTTGGACCTCCTATATGCATCTCTGGCTTCGTGTTACCGTTACCGTCACCGTCCTTGTCCGCATCCTCTTGCTCATCTTTTCACCTCTACTTCGACAAGAAACCTAGCACGAAAGACTCGCTGTGTGGCTGCGCGTTCTGCCCGTAGTGTGTCCACCACCCTATTTCCCGCAGACGAATCCAGCCCCGATCCGGTAACCCCAAGAAGCCGATCACTCTTCCCAGCACCCAAGGAGGACAGACCCTGGAAAATCCATAGAGAAAAAGGGCCAGCCGGGGGGACGAACACCCTTCGACCCTGACATTTCGACGACCCTAGGCCTGAATAGGTCGTCTCCAGCAACCCCCAAACAAACCGTCCCCGGGACCCTCACCAACTCTTTCTGTCGCGGCTTGCTCGCCCTGCCTTTGACTCTCCCAGGAGCCACCGGCCGACTTCCGTGGTTCAGCTTTCCACTGCCGCCTCCGCCTGCACTGCAACTCAACCCCGTCGACGGCTGCTGCAGCCCATCTCGCTCTCTGTCTCAATATCTTTGAACCACACCCGAAAATCTCCAAAACTTCCACCCAACCGTCTCCTTACTGGCCGCCACCTACTTATCCACCCATTGTCCACCCTGCAGTGGCCCCAAGCCTTTAGCTGGGAAGTCCGAGACATTCCCGTCCTGCGAGTGTACAACTTTCCGGCGCGCCAGACAGAGTCAGGTTTAGGAAGGGGGAAAAGAAGCAAAAAAGGGAGAAGAAGCTAGGACTGAAGGTATGGGACCAAGACAAGACCCTCCGTACCTCCTCGAACCATCTCCCTCTCTGACCTATTCCCTTTAAACCCTTCAAGCCTCCCACTGACCATGTGATGATCCCTAGGTGTTCGTGCTGTGTTCGTTGCCCCACGACTCCGTTTCGACCTCCCCTTTCTCTTCCACGTCCCCGGATCCTTCCTTGTCGTCTCGTCTGAAAGGCCAGCTAGAGAAGATCCATCTTGATTCCTGGTTCTAGTCTCTGGGCGACTGCCGCCAACGTCGACGTAGTCATCTACAGCATGTCTGCACGCATCCAAAACCTCTCCGATTGGGCTCCGACCCAGGAGGCTATCTACGACGAGCCCTCCACATCCGCCGTTCAGGAAGATGCCTTTGATGGGAACGCCAATGCCAGGCCTTCTTTCCAGCAGCATCGACTTCGTAGCATGAGTCTTTCTCTTCCATGGCGCCGCAAATCCTCCATCTTCCACATCGAACCCGAACTATCAAGCCATCTCGAAGAGCTCTCCCTCGAGCGATCCCGAAGCCACGCCGGCCCTAGCGACGGGAACGCTGAGAAGCACGGTCATGGAACACACGCGGGGGGCAACAGCAATGGCAGCATCAAGGGCATGTTCCGTAGGGCGTCCATATCGTTGAAGGGCATTGTCCACCACCACAAGAGACATTCGATCGGGGGTGCTCACGGCCTGGAGGAGCCTCAACATCACGCCCGTCCCGGCACTGCCCACGTCAACTCCCACTGGCACCGCCTTCGCCAGGCTACGAGCTTCCGTCACTCCAAGACGTCCCACGGCCCCGACACACAAAGCGACGCCTCCGCATCTGATCACTGCTTTCCCTGCTTGCCGCTGCCTGGTAGTGGGAGCGCGCCGCCCGTGATCCCTTTCCACACAGGCGCTGCTGCCAAGGCCTCTGCCGCGGCATCGAACCAGGCCTTCCAGAACAAATGGCTTCGCGCTTCCTCTGATGACTTCACCGATCGCGAGAGCGGCATTGGCATCACTGTCACTGGTGTCGAGTCAGATGTTGACGTGGAGGTGGAAGACGCCAATATCAGCCGAATCAACTTCATCTCGCAGCTCCCTGTTGAGCTTGCGATTCAGGTTCTCGCTCATTTGGATGCCACGGCTCTCGGCGCTGCGAGCAGGGTCTCGCGGGAATGGCAGCAGATGGTCAAGAACCAACACGTCTGGAGGGAGTCATTCTTGCGCGAGAAGACTGGAACCTATGCCACCAGCCTTCCCGTCCAACCAGGAACAGGACAGGGCGTCCCGCCAATCAACCCAGGCGTGAACTGGAAGCAAATCTACAAGGCCAAGGAAGAGCTCGATCAGCGATGGAAGGAGGGCAAGGCTAAGCCTGTCTATCTGAATGGGCACCTGGACAGTATCTATTGCCTTCAGTTCGACGAGTGAGTATCCAGGCTTCTTTTGGGTGAGTCTGGCCAACTAACGATTCCATAGAACCAAGATCATCACCGGTTCTCGCGACAAGACCATCCGAGTCTGGGATATGCGGACATTCGAGTGTCGTCTGGTCATCGGGCCGCCAGAAGTCGTCAACGACGTATCTCTGCTTCTGGACGAAGATGGACAGCCGGTTCATTATGCAACTCTTCCCGACAACCAGCGCGCGAATCCATCGATGCCTGCCATGGTCTCCTTCCCCACCCATCACAAGGCATCGATTCTTTGCCTGCAATACGACGACCGCATGCTCGTCACTGGATCGTCTGACTCGAGCTGCATTGTGTACAATGTTCGTTCGGGCTACAGACCTGTACGCCGTCTCCAGCATCACACCGCCGCTGTGCTGGATCTCGCTTTTGATGACAAGCACATCATTACGTGCAGCAAGGATATCAGCATCTGCGTGTGGGACCGAGCGACCGGCACTCTCCTCCGTCAGCTTCGAGGGCATTCTGGCCCAGTCAACGCTGTCCAGATGCGCGGCAATACCATCGTGTCTTGTTCGGGCGACTTCCGCGTCAAGCTCTGGAACATTGACACTGGCAAAAACATTCGAGAATTCCAGGGTCACACCAAGGGCCTGGCATGTTCTCAGTTCTCCGAAGACGGCCGGTATGTCGCCTCGGCCGGCAATGATAAGGTCATCCGCATTTGGGATGCCAACACGGGCGAGTGTCTTCGCGAGATGAAGGCCCATGATAACCTCGTGCGCAGCCTGCATATCGACTCGGTCAGCGGGCGTCTTGTCAGCGGCAGCTACGACACTGATATCAAGGTCTTTGACATGGAGACCGGTCGCCAGTTGCTCGACTTTCCCCGATGGCACGCTAGCTGGGTGCTGAGTGCGAAGAGCGACTACCGGAGAATCGTCAGCACCGGACAGGATCCCAAGATCCTCATCATGGATTTTGGTGCCGACGTCGCCGGCATCGAGGCACTCGAGAGCAGCGGCGGTACTTGCGAGATAGAGGGCGGATACATCTAGACGCACGAAAGACGCATACAACCTACATAATATCCTAATACCAAGAGCGGCAAGGCTGGACCGCCCTCACTGACGACTTTTGTTTTCATTTTCATTCGACCATCACAACTCGATGGCGATCCGGAGTAGTAGACGTTATACGACAAAAAGAGATGAGGCGATTTCTGGAAAGAACAGAACCCTCACGGAGGCGTATCGGATGATGATGGATACTCATCCACTTGCATTGGGATTGCGGGTGTCTGGTCTCGAAATTTGGTTTCTTTTCGTTCGGGTTGGGATCCGTTCAAACATTTGGACTGGACTTTATTTCTTCGTTTTGCATGGCATCCTAGGCTTTGTTGCATAGACGGCTACTGGATAGAAGCATTATAGACTCTTGTTTCGCCATCACTTAGTTATCCGTGAAGGTTCACCAACTGCCGCCTGCCTGGCCCATTCTTCCGACGTCTTGTGAAGATCGGGAGTTTTGAGGTGACACTTTTGCCACTGATCTGCCATGCTTCATTGTCATGCTATGAGACGACGGGTTCATGGTATAGAATGCGGAGAGGATGGCCGTTTCGTGCCAGACGAAAAGTCAATGGGCGAACGAGGCGGGAAAATACATGTGGTACGGGGGTGAGCCTCGTTGCATCAAAGCGCGGCCGGTGTAGCAATATACCTGTTGGTCCATTCGGGTTTCAGAACGGTGCAAGCAAGATCAGACGTTCCGTTTCGTTTCGACTCAAAAGGGGGTTTTTTTTTTTATCTGATGGCCGGTCGGTCGGCCTGATTTGCAACTCTGCATGGCTTTGTTTCCCTTGTTTCGAGTGTGTGTGGTGCAGTAATTACCGCGCGTCTTGGGTTGATTATCGGCGTGGTGAGAACGGATGAATCTGTGCTACGCGCAAGTCCTGGAATTGGGATGGAGATGGAGATGGAGATGGAGATGGGGGAGTTTGGCTGAAGATTTTCAGCACTTTCCTGTCCTGTTCGGCCGGACTAAGATGCTTGTTTCCCATGCTTGTTCTCATCCTATCTGGCTGCAGGTGTAGATCCCATGAGGATTGCGGCATTTCGTATGCGTCTAGATGCAAGTGAGATGTAGATGCAATGGGTGTCCGGTTGACAATGATGATCAACATCAAGCATACGCACGCGAAGCAGGAGTTCAACGTGTAGGCTCTTTTCCAAGCTTGGATCCATGCCTACAGCCTCAAGAAGCTGCGCAGTCCAAACTCGAGGCCGTCTATCCTTCGGACTCGAGCCCGGGAGCAATCTCATCTTGAGCTTGCCCACGTCCCGCCTACCGTCCGAGAGCTCGCTGGTGGGAAAACTGGATGATTGAGATCAGCTTAATGCGGACCTGACACACGGAGAAGATCGCGGTCAAAGGGCGACTGACGGGTTGGACAGATCACGGACCGTACCTTCCGGTATCCGTGAGGCGGCTGCGTGCTTGAGCTTTGGGGATGTATCTGAGCGGTGAATTTGGCCTGCCCGTTGTAGTTGAACGCCATTATGGTTGACTTGAACTTGTGATTTGATGATGGTGGTGGAAGGGCGCGATGACGATGCTGATGATGATGATGGTTAGCAGTACGAGTATCATCTAGTTAAAGGTGGGATGGTGTTCATCTCAATGATACTGGCAGCCGTTAGTTAGGGGGAACACAAAGACTCGTACGGCTTGAGATCGTTCAGCCGCCATATGCACAGGAACGTAAAATCGTTCAGACAAGAAGTGTGTCTTGGTGCTTGATGCAAAGTCTTAAGGCTCTGGACCGCTCAGCTCCTAGTCTTGCCTACGAGCCAATATCATGAAGATGGTAATGATAGGCAGGTTTGTGGATAGTCGAGTGGCAGAGCTTGAACATCGTGCATAGCTGTCTCGCGATCACCGAGGTCAGAATAGCCATCGGCCAAATGCGCGCAGCTTGCTACTTGCATCCTGCTACTTGCACCCGACAAGTGTTGCGGAAATAGTCACATGTGTAGAAGAACACCGAAAAGTATTCGTTTCAGCTGCGTTATCCGCAGATTGTCTTGGGCAGTTGTTTCGGGCCCTATTCAAGCGAGAGGCCTGGATTTCCAAGACCCCCCAAGATCCCCCAAGATCCCGATTCCCGCCAGAGACCAAGAGGAAAGCTGAAATAGGGCCGAAGAGCAAGGATCGTTCCAGAACAGAGTCGAGTGTCACGAACCGACCTTCCATTTCTGTCCTTCCCCGGACCCCATTCCTCCTCAGCATCCACGGCCCCAGACATCAGGTTTGACTATGGCCAAGGGCTGGGGGCAAGTACTCCGTAGAGGCAGAGGAGAACACAAATATATTGGACATTGCACATACACAAGAGCCGCCGTGATGGTGCCGGATGCGACGCTGCTCGGTCGGGCCGGATGGGCAGCAGAGGACCTGAGCCTTGTGGTGAAGTTCTTTTACATGTGTTCGTCTCATGTTGCCTAGTCTTGTCTTCATCTCACGATGCCTGCCGCCGGAGTGTAGATGCCGCCGCAGTGCTAGGCAGGGAGGTATTTTTATTCAACCCCCAGATCGAACGGTGGCCCCGGGCGTCGCTTCGGTCTCATTCTGTGGAATCGATTTTCCTTGGATGAATCTCCCGCATGCCAAGTCAAGAAACCCCCGGATTCCCTCTCCGGATTCTCTCTTCCAATACCTCAAGGCCTCCAGCGCCTCAAGAAATCACCGCTCTGCAGAATAAAATGACGCCGTAGAGGAGCCGGCTTAGACCACGAGGCTTTGACGCTGATGGGGAAATTAGACTTGTTCGAGTGTCCCGTGGGGATGATCTGCGCTACCGACCGCCGCGGAGGATCGACGAGGAAGAAAAGGGTCACGACACGCTAGGATGAGGTGGATGAGGGCGCAAAACTGCCACGAGGGCATGGGGTGGATGGGATTCGAGGGGGAAAAGGGTTGGGGTTCACCCCAGGTCTCACGACTCCACGATTCGATTCGCGAGAGAAGTCCACCACACGTTACAATACTTTAGTCTGTATGTAGAACACTCACAAGGTGTGCCCAGGCCATGTGGACAGGAGGGAACATGAGCAACGCCACCTGACTGCGAAAACGAGCAACAAGTGCTTCTCAGAAAGGAGACTAGAGACGGCAGTCGTAGATCTTATTTTTGGGATGTACCCGGTTTAGAGATGATATTGAGTATTGAGCTACACTGTAAATGAACGAAAGGCCAAGCCAAGCGGAGGCAGGTCTTTAACCGGAGGGATTGTTATGAACCGTTTTTGTCTCTTTTAGGGGAAGAAGGGAGAAGTTTCTGAACTTTCTGGGCCCAGAACCGTCCCTTTAGCCTTCACGCATGAAGGTTAATTTCCGTCAGAAATACTGGGGGCGCGATGGTGGTGTAGCGGCAAGCGGCACAGGGTGGTCCTGGTTTACACTAAAGCTGACTCTAGTGACATGCAGCAGCTAAAAGTCTAAAAGGGGGCGCCCACAAGAGTCGCCAAGTCGCTTGTATTTTTGTGCTCATGAGTTGCATGTGTCCTACGAGTTCCAGGTTTCTGAAATGCTCGCTGGTTATTTTCCATGGGGAAAGTTTTTGGGGGACCAAGGCGCAGGGCGTTACAGCTTGGCGGCGGACATGTCAAGCGGCCAGGAATAGGATCATCGATGCGCAGATAGAGTGCGCGCGGGACGATCAATCGTTGACGGGTGGGTTTAGGGGCCCGTGGAGAGGACATAACTCTGGCGAATTGGTGAGAATCGAGACGTTGAGTATCAATAGTACCAGTGTTCTTCAAACACACAGTATTATTAGGCACAGCACTCATGTAAGGATTCAGAGTTTTGAGGGCACATGAACAGCCAGGGAAGAGTCAATCACAAAGCGATATTGGTCACTGGTATACCACGAGCAGGAAAGGTAAGACCCGTTTCGAAACGGCTGCACTGGCAAAGATGGGATGTTGTGAAGCTGTGCTTGTTTGGGACCAATGTAAACTCCTGCGTCGATAGCTGGTAGGAACTCAACAACATACTGAGGTTGCGAACCTATGCGGTGCGAATATGTCTCAGCAAAGCGTAATAGAAAGTGTATCTGCGATCCGCAATTCCAGAAGCCAAGCCCACAAACTCAGACTAGGGTCCGCAAAGTCATGACAACTCAACAAGAGTAGTGTAAGCATATCGAATGCCTGGTGCACGCGATGCAAGTGATGCGCTCTCGAGGCTTCAACGTTGCATTAGGCATGGGTGTACTCAGGTACGGCGATCCAGCGGTTGCATGCGGTCCAGTTACTGATGTCCAGCTGGGGTTGTTTCCTGCACGAGCTATTGTCCGCAGCTGATGTCTGGTCGTCGACGGCCCTCGCAGACTCGTAGTCGTAGTGTAGGTAGTCAGACTTGGTAGCAATGCGGCAGAGGTACTTCTCCCGGGCCTGTCCTGGCGAGTTGACAGCGGACATGACTCCTGCAAGGGGCATGTAAACCGCCGGCATCGTCAGACGCATCCTGGAGACATTCTCGGGCTCGATGGACGGGATATCCCCTCCGACTGGCGTGCCGAGGGCCGGCTCTGCTGGTGAAGTGGTACTATAACCCATCAATAGATGAGTTTTTCCATCAGCATCCCTTTTGGGCGGGACGGGTCTCACCAGGCTTGAAGCGATGGTTCTTCCCCACAATCTAATAACCTTCTCAAAGTGAAAGTGACGCGCCGGACGGAGCAGGTTACTGTTTTCTCAACGTCTTCTCATGTGACAGCGCTTGGCTCTGGAGAAGGGCCGAGAGCATCGAGTATTGCGAGGTGGTAGTGCAGTAGCTTCCAATATTGCGCAGAAAAATTAGGCAAGAAATAATTCCTGAAGACATACAATTAGTTGATCCGGGTGACTGTCTCTCATCACGAGCCCCAAGGTTACAATGAGCAGCATCACAAGTAGAAAACTTCGAGGGGGGGCCGATGGTAGCCCAAGCTTACAGAACGCCATGTATGTGGCGTGGCTTCAGTTGACAGGTCGTACATAGTCAATGCCCAGGGCCAGCCACTTCAAGGAACCTGACTACTTCATGGGAGTCCTCTTTGTGAGCGCTTCGATGCCGTCATAGAAGAGTTCCAGACAGACGGGCCGGTCCAAGTTTCTGAGTCTAGTCACCACAGTAAAATGACATTGTAGGACCTGAATGATGAGAGGGAGATATTCGTGGCCAAGAGTCAAAGACAGAGTCACAAGCGCCTCGCCCATCTGGACCCTCCCCGTCCTCATCATCTCCCGCAGGAACAACTGCCATCCAACCAACGGCCACCAACGCACAACCACAGCCAGTGCCGCTGCGGGATCGGGTCGCAACGCGCCCAGCTCTGTGACGCGAACCCCGTCAACCCATTTCTCTTCGAGCCCTTGCTGTGCTGCTACTGAAGGCGTCTACCGCTGGTGGAGGGTGGACGGGCTTGAAACGGCGCTATGCCCGATCCTGAGCTACCCCGGTCTCTCCATGTCGGCTGTCGAGAACTTCTTTTGGTGACGATGCTGCTCTTCTGCTGCTTTTTGAACATACCCTTGTCCCTGTTGTGTGTGCTCTTGGAGGAGATATGATCCTTACTGCTGCTCATCCGTGGAGGGGCGGCTTTGGTGGGGAAGAGAACACAAAGTGGCCAAGCCAGGGGCACCAGAGGCGAAAAAAAAAAAAAAAGGCAACGGGGGATCTGGAAATAGGGAGAACAGCCGCCGGCGTCTTGTTTTGTTCCCCCTCCCCGATATTGGTACGGACTATTACACAGCAGTACTTTACCCCTTTGTGCACGAGACATTGGAACGAGATTGGGGGAGTAAACTCCAAGAGCCATAGAGGATGCATGCAGTACTCGGAGACCAAAGACCTCTCTGCAACTAGAGGACAAGTTATTCCGTCTTGTCTATGACCTTGCTTCTTTTCATCTTTGACTGTTCAACCAGCTGCCCGATTCGGAGTAGAGTTGACTCCCTCCCTCTCTCTCTCTGCCTGACAGACTAATCTTGGTTCTGTTTCCTCCAGCCACAGCATGGCTCGTGAGTCGTAGATGAGCCGTTCGATGACATGTCTACAGTTTCCTTGGGGGCGGGTTGGCTGATCCTCCGCCTTCGCTTACTTGCTCTCCCTGCACGTGGAGTCTCCTTTTTCCCCCTTGACTTGACTGCCCAAGTGGTCAGGTTCCTGCGTCCCATCATCAAGGCGAGGCCCCAAGGACCGACAGATCTCGCCCAGAAGATTATTCTCATGCGGGAAACGGAGGCGGCGCAGGGATCATGACAGTCCCTTGGGAAACCAAACCTTGGGCCGTTTACCTATTCCTGCATGCGATTCAATCAACCTCTCACCACCAGAACACCACCAACGGTGGATATACCCAGAACAAGGTCGACAGATCGCCAGGTTGAAGGGGGGCCCGGTGGTCCAACCCGGACTACTGGACTAGGGGCGGCTGTCGCATCGCATTGACTAACCCCCTGAACTGCTCCGGACAGGGCCTTTTCGTCCGAACTACTTGCGTGTGCTTCTCTCTTCTGCGTCTGTCTTTCACTCTCAGTCTCTCACTCACTCACACTCTCTCTCGCCTCGCCTCGCGCGCACGTCGCTTGACTTACTCTGTCTGCTGCTGGCAACACCTCACAGCGTACCACCCCCCCCATCCTAGCTCTGTTTGAAGCTATATCCCCTCCCAACCAATAGCGCCCCCCTCTGGATCCTTGTTTCATCGCATTCTTGTGTTCTGCCAGGATTACCTATCCAGCGCGGCAAGTCGGCTGGACGAGGGGTGGTAGTAAAGAAAGAGGACTAAGGTTAGCTGTTGTACTTGTTGGCTAGGTTTTTTGTCGAGCTCGGGCGGGCCACGGACGTCCAATATCCCCCCCTTCTCACTCAATCATTCAGTTTCCCTTCCCCGGTCATACAACCCTACTGGCCCTGCTTGGCTGCCCAGAAGGCCGAGATCCAGTCGTTGAGGATCCGTACCTTTCTTTGACGGACGGCTCTTGGGGGTTGTGAACCGGGATCCAGGGCCCTGCTTTGCCTCAGACTGAGAGGAGAGGTCCGACTGCCGCCGCCGCCACCATGGCGATAAATCGTCCGGCGAGGCAGGGGACTGCCCAAAAGGTAAGGTCAATATAAGACGATCATGTCGCCGTCAACCTCTTTTACGTTTGTGGTCCCTCCCTTCCTCTGCTGTTGTCTCGACCTCACACACCCTCGTCTTCTCATCGACGTTCTTTCTTTTCGTTGCGTGTATCCAAAGCTAAGAGAGGTGGATAATATACCACACTCTGCTGTTTCGATTCGTTCCAAGTCACTCTTTGCACCCAAGAAACCGAGCCTCGATCGGCCGTCACCCGCTGTTGTCACTTTTCAACCTTTCTCTGGTGAGTGTTGTACGCCGTTCCTATTCGATTCCGATCCCGTGGCTTGTCTCCCTCTTCCCTACACCCTCCCGAACCACCGGCCTATTGTCTCGGCTCATAATATCAGTTCCTCTTGGCTTCTTGGGTTGGTGGCAACGGTATCTTTCTCCAAGAGTACCGTGACGTGGGACCTGTCATCTGAGTCCGGGTCAGTCTGGGTCGAGGGGGGGCTCGCCGAGTGAAAGAGACCTTGTCTCGTCTGAAGGGTGAACAATAGGACATGATCCAGGCTTGTGATGCACAGCAGTCCTTTTAGTCACTGACAACAAGGCTGTTCGTGGAGAGCGGGCCGGTGCGAGTCGATTGTCAGTTAGTCACTGACACTCACGCGCCCTCTATACTTAAGGTGTGGATGGTTCGTGATGTCGATATCGAGGGTCACCAGCTTCTGAGCCCTATCACACTTTTCACATCACCCCGGTCTGGTCAAAGAAAACAAATATTTCACTCTTTCCTTTCTTGAAACAGCTTTCCTCGAGCAGTCTCGAGCTTCTTGCACATCACCTCGAAGTTGCGTTTTGTTTGGAATTTTCTTCCTTCCATCATCATCGACACCTTCAACACCACTTACTTCAGTCGAGACTCAGAGCTAACCGCCAACCTTCTTCTCAGTCTTCACCTTCCTTACAACCATCCAAACACAAGAGAACCTCAAACAGCTGGCTGTGCTTCCTCGCAATGGGTTTCTCTACGGTCTTTACGGCCGCCGTCCTGGCCTTGCGCCTCTTCTCGGCGGACGTCCTCGCCGCTCCCGCCCCTGCTCCGGTCCCCCAGGCCGCTACTCCTGACGCTGCTGCTGGATTCTGGGTCGCCTCGATCGAGCGCCGTGGTGTCTCCGCCTTTGGTGACGCCAACTATAAGATTTTCCGCAATGTTAAGGACTTTGGCGCGAAGGGTGATGGCTCTACCGACGACACTGTCGCCATTCAGGCTGGTAAGTATTTCCTCCGTCTAATGAAACAAGAAAATGATGTGCTAACTTCATACCAGCTATGGACGAGGGAAACCGCTGCGGCTTCGGCTGTGACTCCCAGACCACCACTCCCGCTCTTGTCTACTTCCCCGCCGGCACCTACGTCGTCTCCAAGCCCATTGTCATGAAGTACTACACCCACATGGTTGGAGATGCCACTCAGCTTCCCACCATCAAGGCTGCTGCAAGCTTCACCGGTATGGCCGTCATCGATGCCAACCCGTACGACGATCAGGGCAACAACGCCCATACCAACCAAAACAGTAAGTGTTTGCTTGAGGTCCCAAATGTTTTGAGATGATCAGTTGCTAACTTTTCCTAGACTTCTGGAAGCTTGTCCGCAACTTCAACATTGACCTGACCGGCATGCCCTTCACCTCGGGTGCGGGCATTCACTGGCAGGTTGCCCAGGCTACCAGTCTCCAGAACATCGTCTTCAACATGCGCACCGATGGTGGCGACGCCAACGTCCAGCAGGGTATCTTCATCGACAACGGCTCCGGAGGTTTCATGACCGACCTGACCTTCAACGGAGGCAAGTACGGCGCCTTCATGGGCTCCCAGCAGTTCACCACCCGCAACATGACCTTCAACAACTGCAAGACGGCCGTCTACATGAACTGGAACTGGCTCTGGACTTTCCAGGACCTCAAGATCAACAACTGCGGCGTCGGTATCGACATGTCCAACGGTGGTGCCAGCGCGCAGACCGTCGGCTCCGTCCTCCTGCTCGACAGCGTCATTAGCAACACTCCTGTCGGCGTTTTGACTGCCTACAACCCCTCTTCTTCGTCCACCAACGGCAGCTTGATCCTCGACAACGTCGACATGACTTCCAACGTCCCCGCCGCCGTCCAGATCGTCGACACCAAGGCCACCGTGCTCGCTGGTAACCAAAAGATTGGATCCTTCGTCCAGGGCAAGACCTACACCGGCACTACCGGTCAGGGTAAGGCCGTCCAGGCTGCTCAGGATGCTATTGTCAAGCCCGCTGGCCTTCTCGCTTCGGACGGCAAGGTCGTCACCCGCAGCAAGCCCCAGTACGCCAACGTTCCCGCCAGCTCTTTCCTCAGCGCCAAGGCCAATGGCTGCAAGGGCGACGGTAAGAGTGACGATACCGCTGCCATCCAGGCCCTGTTCAACAAGGCTGGCCCCAACGACATTGTCTACTTTGACCACGGTGCCTACATCATCTCCGACACCATCGAGGTTCCCAAGGACATCAAGATCACTGGCGAGGTCTGGCCGCTTCTCATGGCCAACGGTGCCGCTTTCAAGGACCAGGCCAACCCCAAGGTCATGCTTCGCATCGGTAAGACTGGTGATGTCGGCACCTTTGAGATGAGCGATATCATCGTCCAGACCCAGGGCCCTCAGGCTGGTGCCATTCTCATGGAGTACAACATTGCTGGCTCTACCCCTGGTGCCGCTGGTCTCTGGGATGTTCACTTCCGCATTGGAGGCAGTGCTGGAACCCAGCTTCAGTCCGACAAGTGCGCCAAGAACCCCAACGTCACCACGACCGCCAACCCTGAGTGCATCGGTGCCTACCTTCTGACTCACATGACGGCCGAGTCCTCTGGCTACTTTGAGAACACCTGGTGGTGGGTTGCCGACCACGAGCTCGATCTCCCCGACCGCAAGGCCCAGATCAACATCTACAACGGCCGTGGTGTTCTCTGCGAGGCTACCAAGGGCACCTGGTTCTGGGGTACCGCCTCTGAGCACAGCGTTCTCTACAACTACCAGTTCAACAACGCCTCCAACGTCTACATGGCTCACATCCAGACCGAGACGGCCTACTTCCAGGGTAACCCCGACGCCAAGACGCCCTTCACGGTCAACAACGCCATCCTTGACCCCAACTTTGAGACCTTCTGCACTGGCCAGAGCGACAAGTGCGCCCGTACCTGGGGTGTCCGCGCCATCAACTCCAAGGATATTCTCATCTACGGTGCCGGCCTGTACAGCTTCTTCAACAACTACGATCAGGTCTGCGTCGGCGAGAACAACTGCCAGGATCACATGGTCTCTCTTGAGAACTCGGACGTCAAGTTCTTTGGTCTCAGCACCAAGGCGGCCATCAACATGGTTACGGTCAACGGCAAGGGTGCTGCGCTTGACACTGACAACCGCAACAACTTCTGCGCCACTGTGGCCATGTTCCAGGCTCCCCTCTAGAACAGGGGCAACATCAAGGACGTGGAGTGGTACAGTATCGAGGCGGTTGCTGGATCCCTTTAGAAGAGAGTTACCGTGCCCCGAGAGGCGCGCCGTTACCCGCACAAGGTTGTGCCCATGTCGTACGCTCCAAAGTACACGGATACCTACGTGCCGGGTGAAGCTTTCCCTATTCCGAAGGGAATTACCGACCACCACGTCCGCCACCATGTCTATCATCACGTCCACGATGCTATTGGCGAGCACGTTCGCGAGCTTCGCTTCTAGTATCGTGGCTGTGTTTCCTTTCTTCCAGATGTAGTTGTCCGCCCCAGTGGTGCGTCGCTACATGTTCTTATCACACCCCCTTTTTTATGCTATGGGTTTTGGCAGGAGGCATACTTGCATCAAGGGAGTTTTAAGGTTTCTAGAAAACGGGATTAGGCCGTGGATCGTGAGAACACGAGGGTTTCTACGGCGGGATTGACATTCTTGTTTTGCCCAAGGGCATTTTGATACCATTCAACGAAACAACGTTTAACCAAGTACCATTTCCTTCTTGAAGTGATCTGTATGTGACTGCGAATTTGTAAAACTTGATTCTCGTATGAAGCCGACTACCAATCACGGCGTCATTACCTAGCCAGTATTCGATATCGTGTCTTGCCTCCTATCTTCCTTTGGCATCTTTCGAGTTCTCTCGCAATGTGTCCTCACCTTCAAATCTTCACCTTGAATTCTCGGTGTGAGGCGGCGAGTGACCTTCACCGAAAAGGAAAGACGATGATTCGCCGGTCGGCGTTTTCCAATAGCCGACTGCCCGCCTTCAGCCCCCGTGACCCACTCAGGGTAGGGTACGTACCGCCTCTCTCCAGTACGTACCGCGGTACCTGAAGGTCGCTTGATGTGGCAGCAACGTCATACTCTGTGCATCGATTTCTTCCGATTCCAAGCTCTGGCGCCATTCCTCCCACCGATTTAATAGACCATCGTCACTCTCGATCCGGCCTGTCCCCAGCTTCTTCTGCCCTTTATGCGATAACAAACGCTCCGAACTTTCTCTCTCTCACACCCAAACCACCACGATGGACACGCCACCAGCAGCAAACCTGCGGTCCAAGACCAGGCGGGCACTTGACGACCTCAACGGTGCATCCACGTCGCCGCCCTCGACATCCCTCAAGACAACGCGAAACAGCCCCTACCTCCCTACGCCAATCGAGACGATCGTTCTAGCCGCTTTCCCGGTCATCCTCTTCTTCGGCACTGTCTTCTCGCTTCTCTCTCCCGACGTTCGCTCGTCGGAATACGACCCCGCAGCCCAGGCCCACGTGCAAGACTCCGCGCCGTCGTACTTTGCGCGCAAGTCGAACCTGTTCAACGTTATATTCGTCAAGCGAGGCTGGTTCTGGATCACGGCCGCCTTCTTCGGCTTCATTCTCACGCACCCCGCGACTGCACAAGCAACCGCGCGCGTACAGGGCACGCTGCGTTGGGCGCTGGTCACGACCTGGTGGTTCTTTGTCACACAATGGTTCTTTGGCCCAGCCCTCATTGACCGAGGCTTTCGCTGGACAGGTGGAAAATGTGAGATTATTGAAGAAAAGGTCGAGATGGGCGAAGGAGATGCCAAGGAAGTCTTCACAGCGGTCGCATGTAAGGCATCTGGCGGACGCTGGCGCGGCGGTCACGACATCTCGGGACACGTCTTCCTCCTGGTTCTTGGTACCGGCTTCTTGCTTTCCGAGGTCGGGTGGGTAGTCATGCGCTGGAGAGGCTCAAGGAGAGAAGAACGCAGTGTTGTCATGACGGATGGTGCTACAAAGACTGCAACCGTCGAGGCGCAAGGTTTGAAGGGAGAGCCTGTCCCTGGTGATGCTTTGGGCTTGGGAGGCAAGTTTGCCGCTGCCATTATCGCCCTGAGCTCCTGGATGCTGCTCATGACGGCAATCTACTTCCACACGTGGTTTGAAAAGGTACAGTGTCAGATCTGACGCCCCCCTGCGCAACCTCGCTGACATAAAATCTAGGTCACCGGTCTTGTTACTGCTCTGGCTGCGCTGTATGGCGTCTATGTTCTCCCTCGGTTCGTCCCTGCTATTCGACAAGTCGTTGGCCTGCCTGGTATATAGGCAGTCGGTATTTTATATAGAAGAGACCCAAGATGGGCATGAATGCCTAATAATACAAGAAAATACATTCCACTCGAAAATTACGTTGACGCAATTCTCGATCCGTGGGGCCGGTCTATCTATATTTCGACTCGCCGTGTAAACTGCAATGCTCTCAGAGTTGCAGTAAATCACACGATTCTGGCCACTCGGTAATCTGTTCGTAGACTGGTGGATTCAAATGAATGTATCTCTAGGGATACTACTTCCTTTTCGGTGTAGGCATTCACCGATAAGAAGAAGCTCGGTGAGCATGGTGGATGTGGGGGTCCGAGGTGGGGTTCCTGGGGTGCCCGTAGCTCCCCGTTCCGTCCCCAAAGTGACCTCATCCTCCATCCTCTTCGTCTTCACTTTATTCCCAACGTTACAATAACATCACACTCTACTCCAGTCTCTCTGACCCGTAGCAGATATACCAATGCCTCCAATCAGGGCCCCGGTCAACCTGCCGGAGCTTGTCAAAGCAGCTTTCAGCAAGGCTCGCTCCAATGGCGACCTGACCTACTATGCAACTCAGGTCACAGTGCTCGACGCCAACTCAACCCCGGTGAGTCTGTCTGCATTGCGTCACATATCCCTCACATGAACTCCAACTGGAACTTCGATTAACTCTTCCGCGCAGTTTCAACTCCGCTTCTCCCCCGCCTTGGCGAACAAGCCGGCTGCGCAGAAGCCCAAGAAGACCGATGAGCCACGCAAGCCTTTTGATCCTTTTGAGAGTCCCGAGAAGGGCCCGCTGTACATCGCCGAGATACCATCGTCTTCGGGCCACAACTTGGTGCTGAACAAGTTCGCCATCGTTCCTGAGCACTTCATTCTAGCTACCAAAGAGTTCAAACAACAGACCGATCTTCTAGAGCGCGACGATCTCGCAGCAACGTATTCTTGCATAGAGGCTTACAGACAGTACGGCGAACAACACCAGGGGAATAATGGCGAGCTCTATGCTTTCTTCAACAGCGGTTCGCACTCGGGTGCAAGTCAGCCTCACCGGCACATTCAGCTGCTTCCGGTGGCGCGGATGATGGACGGTTTACCCGCCGGCGCGCAATGGGATGTGCTGGCGAAACAGCTTGGCCCGCAGCACATTTCCGGGCTGCCGTTCTTAACATTTGCGGAGACGATCCATCGAGACATGACCTCGGATGAGCTTCACGGCATCTATCTATCACTTTTCAAGTCGGCGGTTGATGCAGTGGAATCTCACATCGGCGCTGTGAACGACTCTGGGAATGGCAGCGTGCGTATCAGCTACAACCTTGCCATGACCAGCGATCGGCTGGCGGTACTGCCACGACTTGCCGAGGGCGCAGCCATCTTCAAGGACGGTACGGCCGTAGGAAACCTCGCACTCAACGGCACCGTCTTGGCGGGAACGGCTTTGGTAAAAAATGAGGCCGAATGGGATGCGCTAAGGTCAGGAGGCGACGGTGACGGTGTCCAATTACTGGAAGTTCTATCGAAAATCGGCGTTCCCAAGGACGGCGGCAGAGGCCACACTAAAAAGCTGTGAAGGCGCCATTCACATCATGCACGTCCATGGAGAAAAGGAGGAGGGGGCAAACATACGTTGCAGATGCGATGCAAGCAAACATTGGCCCAGCGGCAGGACTCTAACTAATCAAAAGCAAACATGATACGTCAGCCGCATCCCACTCCATACCGAGATCTCCATACGAATACCACCACCGATGGTCTACCATCAATCGACATGTCACTTGTCAAAAATTACTATTCCGCTGTCCACATCACATCGTTGCCCCAAGAACCAAAACCGATCGCATCGTCCCGTGCCTTCTCGGACTATACCCACACACTCAATGCAGTCGACTCCATCACTCCATCGCGCCGTATATATTCATCTGGTGCCCGGAAGCAACCATTACGAGTTCGTCCCATTTCTTGCGACAAGTGGCGTTGCCAAAGAGGTAGGAGCCACCATTCCTTTGGATGTATTCGGCGACTTGCTTCCAGGGGATCTTGGTGGAAGCTGGATCGCTACCCTTGGCAAACTTGCGGACGGCTCTCTGAAGCAGGTGGACCTGCGAGGTATAAGTCAGCTGGACGCCAAGAAAAAGTAGTCATCATAGGGAAGCAGGGCAGGGGATAACTCACGTCCTTATCGGTCCACTCAGGCTTACGAACCCGTGCCTCCTTGCTCTTGGTGAGAGTGCGATAACGTCCACGAAGAGTCGACTCAGCCTCGCTGAAGTTTCCCTTGACTCGAATTTCGCGGTACGTTAGGCCCTCTTGCTTGGCCTTGAGAAGGTATTCGTCCTTGGCTGAACGCTCAGCGAGATCAAGTGTAGAAGCCTGTGCCGGACAGGGCTTGGGCTGCTTTGGCCGAAGCTCAGTTTTGTGCGTAGAGGGAACAGGCTGGCGAACTGGAGAGGCCCTGCGACGTGAGGAAGAGGAGCTGCCGTTATCGGCTCGCGATGATCGTGGCTTCTCTGGGAGTTCCTTTCTAGGCCTGGACATCAATACCTGTTGGGTTGGTGGCTCGGCTTTGGCCCCCCTGAAGCTGCCATGGCTGCTCATTGCCGCCTGTTGGTTCTCCACCTGTTGCTGGTGCTCGAGGAGCTGTTCCTGAGGAGTAGGGAAGAAGAGGATAGAGTTTGGCTCAGAGAATGGGGGTGGTGATGGGGGAGCTGCCTTGATGCCGTTGAAATTCTCAGGTACCATGGATGAAGAGGCAAAAGGCGAGTTGGCATACTCGAACTGGTCTGAAGGACTGGTGATGATGGCACTGCCGTCTACCGAGTTGAAGGAAGAGGAGTCGAGCAGGGTGGGAGGAGCACCAGCAGAAGAGAAGCTGCCAAAGCTAGTGCCTGGGTCCGATGCCGTGAAGACGGGAGAGGATGTGGACATGCCATGGCATAAAGTGTTGGAAGTCGACATTGAAAGTCCATCCATAGACGAGATATCGTATTGATACGGCATCGGAGCGAACATGGACTGGACATCAGTCGTGTCGGCCACCCCAAAGGACTGCCATGTTTGATTTTGATCCATGACTTGTCGTCTACCGTTCAAAGAACCATCAAGCCGTTGCATTCTGGCAAAGAAGATGCCATGATCAGGGTCAGCATATGGGCTGCCCGCGGTGCCAGCTAGGTATCTGTTCCGAAGCTGCTGGGCCTGAGGCAAGAGGATGAAAGTCAGCAATGTTCTTGATCACATCTCACATGATGATGATGGTGATGATTATGATCATGATGATGTTGAAAAGTGTCAAGCAAACAGGAGAAAAGGGGGAAAGAAGGGAAAACCAAGAGCCAACGCACCTCGAAACTGTCTTGGATACCGTCTGGAATGACGGCCAGAGACCAATCCTCACTCGACATGGTGCCCGGTTGCTGAGTGGACCTGAAGTTCAAAGGAATCTTGTGGGTGTTGCGTGCGAACAGTTTCCTCTGGCGTCGGATGTTGGAGCGTTGCTGTGCCTTGACCTTCATATCCTGCTCAAAGGCGAAGATGTCCGAGCCATGGAAGCCCCAAGGGGCAGCGACCTTAAACATCTTGAACGAGAGGGACTGCCCGTCAGACAGAGACTGTCGGGATTGGACGAGGAAGCAAAGCTCAAAGGAAGCCGAACGTCTCACCGCTCCTTCTGCTGGAACTTCTATCGGTGTCTTCTGTGTGGATTCAAGTTTCCAACTCGCATGCAACGATGTTGTCTTCCGGCTGTGCGTTGAAGGAAGGATAAGGTTGTGGGTGGTTAGTTTCGGCGGTCAGTGAAGAATTTGAGAGCGGTTGATGCAAGACGCAAGCGTGGGATCCCGTTGGGTGATTCCACGGATGCCTACAAGAGCAGAGTATGGCGTTCGCTTCGACGGGAGAAGAGCGGTATGGGGGATGATCCACGGATACCAGCGGGAGCGGTGGCGAGTTGAACCAGTTCTCTCTTGTGGATGGCCGTCAGGGGGTAAGACGATTTGACTCTTTGATGCCGATGACCAATGAGCAGACCGTTGGAGTTGTTCAGTCACTTGTGGCAGATGTCAGGAGGAGGAAGAGGAGGAGGCTCGAGCTCAATCGTCAGGAGATAATGATGAAGGCTTATGACGCAATAAACATTAATGGCCACGAGGCGAGCTGTATTCGATGAAGCCTGAAGGGAAAAGGTTAATGTGACGAGGACTGATTGTTGGGACAAGAATGATGAAAGAAGAGTGATTGACTATTGACATCGGCTCACGCCATCGTCGGTTTGACGGGAGAAAGGCCTCTTCAAGTACAAAGTCGAATTTCGGCTGTTCCTCCCGCAGACACAGGGTCCAATTTCATTCGAGATGCTACGGGATATTGAAAGTGCTTCTCGACTACTGATTATCCCGTCACTCCTCGGGTATCTCACCCAGAAGATCCTCATACATGAGGTCTCTCTTACCTTTTGGGTATCGTGCGTATCCGAAGCCGCTTTATTTGTCCAGGCCGGCTTCTGTGCCGTCCCCGTCAACACTGATGATCATACAGCCACGGGCATCCCATCTAGGCATGGAACATCAAGAACACCTCCTTCATTCTACTAGACCCGTTCAAATCTGTCAGAATTCAGCCTCCTTCGAGCGTCCCCCCACCAAACTGCAGGGTATCATCCTCCTTCTCGGGCAGTGCCTACGGCCCGGGTACATCTTCGGCGCGTGGATGGCAGGATGGGTTGTATTTGTGCGTGGGCTCAGGGATCAGGACAGCCCGTGTAATCATCTGCAGACGGATAGCTTGGATTACACCACTAGGGCTCGATCGCGCATCACCATGTTGCGAAGTTCCACTTTCATCGTCAACGATTTGGAACCGCTTTTGCTCCCGGGTACCGACTTGCGCATCAACACTTGTTACCCTGGCCGGTATCCCAGTAGGATCGCCCCCGTGCAAAACGCCACGAGCCCAGGTGCTTTCCCATGGCCGGGGGGGGGGGGGGGGTTTAGGTACCATTTCGGCGAGTGTTTACTTAGACAGGGGGAGAGGGGGTCACGGGATCCTGGATCGAGAGGAAGATCGCGGAGTTACTACCGTCCAAGGTGGCGTTTTGGCTGTGGGCGTTTGACTATTGCAAAGGCCTGTTATCTGTCGTATGCGGTTGGTAGACCGGGGTCCTTGCTTCTCGATGCCGGCGTACTGATCCTGGCTTCTTGGGCCCTGGCTCGGGAGGTAACCAGGCTCATGCAGAAAGACTCTTCGTGCGCCCCTCCCCAACGAGTGAGCTTCGACAGATTGAGGCCCACGTTAAAGCCTGGAGCTGGATCTAGTTCGATCTAGGCTACACAGAGAAGCACAGCACAAGCATATTCACGGTATGAGTCTCTCTACTAAGGTATGTGGCTATGTGGTCTAGACAGTGCATGCCGTGATCTAGATCGTCGGCTGTGGACAGTGGGGATTGCGGAAAAGCACCTGGTATTCCACCTGATAGCCTGGCTTGCCACGTCACTTTGAGTGTTTCTCCTGCGAGACTCTTGCGCGATGAAAGCAGAAGGAGGTGAGAAAGCGAGATGAAGCACAGCTAACAATGGGGGCAACATTATGATATGAGAGAAGGACGGCACAGCAAGATGTCCACGTGGGAGATAACGAAAGCGGAATCACCAACTTGACTCTTCTCGGACTCAGAGACCTCGTGGGCATCGGCCCATGACCCTCCCTTCCCCGGTGCCATGACAGGGCTGACATGGCAGTCAGCGGTTCCTTTCTCAGCATGCTGCATACCGGCAATATGGTACTGGCCCCGGACCACGTCTGGTCATCCAGCCATCCCCACTCAGCTTGGGCCGAATCTGTCTACAAGGGAGCGTGCAGGAGAGGCTTGCAGGGCTTAGGATGCGTGGGGCTTCAAGTGCTGGATAGATCTGTCGTTGAGTGGTGTCCATGCATGTCATCCTGGATTCATGCAGGTGTGTAGGTAAGCAAAACACCCTCTATCGAAACGGCCGAAGCGTATGTTCAGACGGGAAAAGACCCCATCTCCTAGATGAGGGGTAAGTGACAGCTCACTAAATCAAGATGGAAGTTCTACGCCTGGAATACAATCGAGATGACTCTCATTTTGCGGTTTGTTATGTTGGGTCGGGAGCTAATCCAAAAAAACATGTTGACCTTGCGTAAGTAATGAGAAAACAGATTTCGTTACCACTGCAATAGTTTTGCCAGATGGAAACTGACCAACAGCCTATTTGTATCTACACGCAGAAGGGAATTGCTTGGTTAACACTGAAGACTCGCAGAGTTGAATTGCAACTGAGGTCATCGGTGAGTAGACGGGAACCCCTCCTTCTGTCTCCATGGAGGTGTTCATGTATAGCTCACCGGTCTTGTGTCCACGCTCTGCAGAATATATGAGCTGTTAAGAATGCGGGTTCTTGAGCTCGCACGTATGCCTGCATAGTCTACACAGCCTGCATATACATGCATGATCAACTTCTCACTAAATGGAGAAGAAGAAGAAATGACGACTTGCATGCCTTACGGACGCACCGTTGGTCCCCTGTTCTCGCACGTTTCCTCAAACCTCGAATTTCTGCCCACCTTCAAACGCTCTCCTCTCTCATGAGCCATCAAACCGGTCTATCTGCCCGGCTGTCAGTCGTGACGTTCTGCAATACATGCCTTGATGGCGTACACTGCAGTCTGCATACGCTGCGTGGCTGACAAGGGTGACGGTTGACATGGGTGTTGGACATGTTGCTGCGGGACGTTCTAGCCCAGGCGAACTAATCTCAACTGAGGAAGACGATGAGAAAAGAGACACACCCGGGGCCAAGATCTGCGTGACACTTGTTCGCACCATACTCGCAAGAACAGCTGGTCGTCTCAACCTGGTGGGAGATGGCCCGCCCAGAAAGAAACCATCCGCCGCATGGTTTTTGAGACCTGTCATAAGTCGGGACCCGTTGGGGCGAGGTCGTACCCACGGGTTGACGCAGCAAATCCCAGGGATCACGTCTCGAACATCCAATGACCCTTACAAATTCGCCTGTGGGAAAGATCAGACACTGATAGATTGGCGGAAAGCTGCCGTTCCAGTGAGCTGGGCGAGAGATCAGAGACGCAATCCTCCTATAGTAGAATTCACTAATCAATGTGCAGAAGATCTCGTCAACCCAGATAGTTTCGATCCAAATCGAGATTAGATCATTGCCGTCTCCGACGCAGATGAGGGAAATCGACTGGAGCTGTGGTCTCTTCGGGATCATGCAGAGGGGGAAAAGGCCGCGTCTGCCGGTGTCGGATGACTTGAGCCTGTCTCACCTAGCGAGATACGCATATCGAGCTAGATCAACTCCCACGGGAAGGGAAACCAAACAGGATGTTGCCAATTGGGTATTGGTTGAAGTCGATAAAAAAGCAAAACCCCGAATCAGTACCTAGCAGTGGATCATTTTTCAACGTCCAACGTCCAACGTCCAACGCCGCAAACGTCTGAGCGGAGCCGCCTCATGTTTTTCCACGTTTCTTTTCTTGGTAGTTTTCGGATCGATCCGAAGGGTTGGTTGTCTTTGGTGCTTTTTTTCGACTGATGGCGTTGCCATTGCATCACTGACTAAAACTGCCTACGTTTTGCGATGTTCATGAGATCTGGTGCCCAGCGATGGTACATACTCTTGCGACTCGCCCTCTAGAGAGAGTTCTCCTCGAAAACCTTGTAGCAAGAATATACTCACAGTATTCAGGGTATGTGGAGTCGGTGGCAACTGGATTTTACGCCTTGGCCTGCGGTGATAGATACCCCTATTCAGTCTGCTCGAGGCCCGTTTGGTAGGTACGCAACGAAGGCTGCAAACACCACCCTGACGAGCCGTCCAAGACACCTTTTCCGTGAAAACGTTTTTGTCACAAAGCAAATAGCAGACGCCTTGAGGCTTCGATTTTTTTCCATCTGTTCTTCTATGAATCTCACTCAGGTACCTGGAGAGTCATCTAGAGGAAAGTCAAGGCGAATCGCCATGTGTCTTGGACTGTGAACGTACAAACTCGCTATTTACACCGCAATTTCAGGCCATTGTTATCTACAAAGAATAGGAGACCATTGGTGCCCCCTAAAACTCTTCAATTTACATGCACACCGTGGTTCTCTCAGACCATCGCAGGGACATTGATCTCCTTGATAGTCCAAACCTTTCCATTCTGGCTGCTCGAGAGACCAGAATATATGGCCTTCTGAGCGGTGGCAATCGTCTTTCCAAAACCAGTATCGGGGCTTGCAAGAGTGATAACGGTGTCTATGTACTTCTGCGACGCAATAGTAGGACTGCAGTTGGCATTGCACTCAGTTCCAGTGCCATAGCCTCTCATAAAGGGGCCAGACTTGTGCTCAAACGAGCTGAGCTTTGCACCAGTGTCGGCATCGGTGACGGTCTGGCGCCAGGTATTGTTATCCGAGAGAAGCTCGTATTCGATCTTGACTTTCTGGGTGCCCGATACGGCAGAAGCGTCGCCGCTGAGTTGCCCAAAGGATCCGAAAAGAGAGGCCCGGACGCACCACTGGCCCTTCCTGGCGCCACACCAAGGGTTGTCTGGCCAGAATTCAAGGGTAGTTTGGACGAGATCGCCGGCGCCATTCGACATACCTGGTCAGAAGGCCAGCACTCCATTTTGCGTGGGAGGTGCGGTGCCAGGGATAATTGTTGTCACGGCCTTGATGGTGGTTGAAGTTGTTGGGCCAAGGGATACGGAGCCTCCCCAAGTATCGACTGCAGCCGAGGTGCCAATAATTGCCGCGATCATGGCTGCCTTGAAAAGAACGGAGATCATTTTGAGTCACTTTGATGTGAATTTCGATAACGACTGAGAATGATGGGCTTGATCGACTGAGGTGTCACTATCACCACGTCCCAGGAAACATTGAACGTATTTATGTGTTTTTGCAAGCTTAAGCGAATGAGCGGTGCCGCATCGTCTTCTGCTGTATTCCGATCAATGAACTTCATCGTCAATGTGGTAGTATTCGACTGCCCAGCGAAGTGCTCTGTATCGTGGATTCATCCACGCGACGATTCTCCACGACGGAGAGATGTGCTCGATGGAGTTCGACAACTTGCCTAACTCTTTCGTGTCCACCAATGGGAATAGCCCCATTATCCAGGTTAACCCTACCAAAGGTCCATGCCAGTATTACATCTGGCTGTATTTCTACCAAAGCTTGCCGACTTGATCTTAGTGTCATCTGAAGTTCCTTGAGCCACTTCCCCTTTGGGGAAGCCCCTGCCTCTTTGGACTAAAGACCAATCGTCCTAGTGTAAGCGGTACCAATCGTCCACACGAAAGTCAGTGCATGGGCATAGCGCTCTTGGTATCACGAGGCTGCTTCTCGGGGAAAGACTAAACAAGCAATTCAAGTGCCGGCTTAGCCGCCTCTTCATCCGCACAGAGACTCGTAGTTACGCTAGGCCATGAAAAGTTGAGTGAAACCACAGAACATGGCGGGGGAGCTGATGGCCATTGCATCTTTCTACTTGAGTCAAGTCTCGGAAAATGTAAATTAGGTGATCCTAGTCGAGAGAGACGATGCCTCGGTTTCAAATTCGGCGATTTCGGTCTCGTTCTCCCTGAGAGATTCATGGGATCTGCTAGGTCTCGATGTGATCCCGATGCCTGCCTGACTATCGGCGCACCGCAGAATATAGCGGCACTTGCATGTCCCGGCAATTCGAGAAGATTGTGAGCTAAAGGGACCATATCCGAGCCTCATGCGAAGAACCATTGGTTATGCTCTCAAATAGGTGTAACTGTAAGTGCTTACCAAGTGTCACAACTCGAGGTTATGTATGCATGGGTTCTCTGGGTTACCTTCTCGATCACTTTAAAAGCTGTCGCAAGAACTGGCAAAAATATTATTTAAGTCCACTTGTAAAACTGCTACGGTAGGTCGGACTTATCAGAAGCGAGGCAATGCCAGATTATATCACGTAAGATCCTACCTTACGTCGCGGAGTAAGGTACAAAGCACCTTGCTGAAAACTCTTATCCACGTCCTTTGCCAGGTCCCATGAGTTTCGGCATGATGCTCAATGAAATGTTCGTGGTCAACGTGGATGAGCGCCAGGAGTAGCATTGAAAGCCCGCAACTACCGACTCCTGTCCCTTAAGGCTTTCACATTTACAGAGTTGCTCGTGATGACACTCATAGAGCCAAGTAGTCGCCAAAGACCAGGACCAAGAATCGTCCCAATGGAAGATTTTGAGACATGTCTGAATCAATGCCGCTCATGTTGCCGTGCAACCCCTCAATCCTGAAGCGCGACTTCGCATTTCTGTCTGTAGCATGTTCCATGACACGCGGCAGATGGAGCAGCTCTCATGAGACCGATGCACATTTGCAGTCAGGGTGGGCTGACCAAATTGTCAGCAATCTTCCCGGACGAGCCCACTTGAACAGACGTACAATAAAGCGTAGCATTGTTTACAAATCACTGTGTCGTGGTCTATCTCACGATCGGCCATGGTATCATGTTAGAGTGAATGCATGCACTATTGGTTTCTACGCCTGTAATGAACATTGCTTACACGTGAGCGATAGCACACAGAACCTAGGCGCCGTTACTAATATCACGCTGGTTGTCTTGGTCCCGAACGATCATCATTACCGGAAAGTACTCCGTAGAACCGGGCGCCATCGCGTGGGGCCCCAGGATAATGCGACCCAACCAAACCTTTGGAACGGTCCGTCATGATTATCAATCTGGGGTCGTAAGGCTGTCCTTGTTGCCTATGGCTATGTCTCCTTTGATCATCTTACTCTGAATTCCCCCGTTCTCTATCAGATTACTTCGGGGTTTGCGCGGAAGGGGGAGCAGAGTCTCTAACTGGCTGTTCGTATAAGTTGGTGTGACGGCGCCAAAAGGTTATGTTTCTAGAGTTTAGAAGAAGGTTTAGATTTGTTTAGTGAAACAAAAACGTTAAAAAAGGCCCGCGGTGCGAATTGGCCAGCGAAACTCCAGCAAGCGGGAATCGAAACGTTCTCTAAAGTGTAAATCTTTTTGAAAGTCCGCAATATCTTGTTCCTCTTGTTCCTGTTGGCTGCGACTTCCACAGATTGCATCGAACAAGCGACAAGGTTCCAGACAACCCAGCTCCCGCAACCCGGGAATGAAGCTGTCTTGCTCCAACTGATCAGCCCCAGCATTGCACAGAGCATGTGGATGGTGCAGCTCTTTTGACCTACCTATGTGCCGCACTCCCACGACTCTTTCGATTATGGTGCCGAAATCCCGACTTGCGAGCACCGATAGCAAAGAAATCCCAAGATAAGCTACCGTCGCAAAAGCATAAGCGGCATAGTCCAGACATTGGTGACGACTTAATGGGAAACGGTGATCTTGGCATTCTGTCAACGGCATACCCGATCGAAGCCACGCCCACCTGCTGGTCCTGGTTCGTCGCATCACGATGAGTTCTTCATGGCCCCAGCGGGCGTCTAGATAAGATGGCGGTGGAACTTCTGCTTATTTGACGTTCCATTGCATCTCCAAAGTCCCAAAAACCCTGGAGCCCATGATAAAAAATATTCAGCTAGACATCCACCCTCGCCAACCAATATCGACTATCATCAATTCTCGTCAATCGGCCCCCATCTCAGTCGTCAGCAAATTCGATAGTACAGCTCCTTGCTGACATACTCCACACGTCAACTCCGCAATGCACCGGGGACAATGACCCTTGTGAGCCATTCCCAGCAGCAGCAATTGCCACTATCCGGACTGCTTTCTCCATATTCCTACCCACAGGCTGAACCGACATCCAGGCATGTGGTTCCTAAGGGATGTGATCCAGGTTTGCAGCCGTTTGACGTTCACCTGCATCAACCGAGCTGTTCTGTGGGTGCGGAGCTGCTGCCGTACCCTGCTGCCGTGGTATGATCCCTCGATCCATGTAGTTCGCAGGAACTAATTCGTTCCAGTCAATACCTCACGAAATACCAACAACAATGCTTACAGTTGCACCGTCAACAATAGATGGTGCAACTTCTTTCTGGGGCTCGGTTCCTATTCATGACGAACCGGCTCAAGGTGATTGGTCTTCTCTGCTCCAACATCCACACCGCGACCGATTGGGACCCTTTCCCGTGATGGCGCATAGTTCTCAATGCAGCCAACAGAGGTTGGGCAGAGGCCAGACTTGCCTATTTAGCCTGACGAAATCAAATCGGGAAATGCCTCATACTGTTCCTCGCTGCCTACAGAGTTTACATGAGAGTGGAAACGGTAATGCCGTACCCCCATTCTGGAGAAGAGATACGACGTTGGGACTGATACATAAAGCAGCTGTATTGCCGGCCGTTGGGAAGTTGGGTTTCAAGCGATCAAGCTCAAAGTCAGAAACAACTCCAGAGATTGTCTTCGTCATGACGTGGCTCGCTGCACTCACGATGTCCGGTGCCTTCGACGACCTTATCGTCAAGGCGGTTTATCTGGGTTTCTTGTACCTCGTCATCAAGTACACGTATCGGATGTTCTTATCTCCTATTGCCAGTTTCCCCGGGCCGAGGATTGCTGGCATTACCAAACTCTACGAAGCTTATCACGTTCTGCTAAAGAACGACTGGCTGGAGAATCTTGTCTCGCTCCACGAAAGATATGGTAAGTTGTGACCCTATTGCTCGCTCTGCGAACTGGAATACTAAAGTGAGATTTCCATTACAGGGCCAGTTGTTAGGATTGGGCCCAACGAATTGCACTTTGTCGACAACAAGTTCAACCTCGACCACCATCGGCGACCCGACCTCTTCAAGTGTAATAATTACTACGGTCTTCTCAACAAACTTCTTGGCGGACTGGCTAGCCCTGCGAAACATGCGCAGAGGGCGGCAGTCATGCGGCCAATCTTCTCTGGCCAGACTTTGGCCGAATACTCCAAGACTTTGGATAAGCACATAGAATCACTTCACTCGCGCCTTGCAGATGCTGCTTCGGACAAGGGGGTTATCAACTTGACACATTACCTATGGGCTTACACCAACGACGTTATGATCTCGTATCTCACCGAGGAAAACTATGGGTTTCAGAAGGTCTATGATTTGCAAGCCACTCACGATGCGACACGAGCCTTCAGCGCCATCGACCTCGCCACCGTACTGAGGTGTATGCCACCGGTCAAGATCATGTTTGATTACGTTCCAGCTCTTCGAGCCTTTTCACCTTTGGGGTGGCTTGATAACGTAAGCTCATTACATTGACTATCCCCGGATACTACATCAAGATTGCTAACCTCCTCGTAGTTGATTAGCTCTCACGTCAGACCTATGGTCAAGTCTTGGGACGACGAAAATAGTCACCAAAGTGTGTTGGCTCGGATCTTCAATGAGATAGGGAATGAGACACAAACCGTGCACGAGTCATCACAAGCTATTTTCATTGGAAACGAGTCGCTTCTCAGCAACTTGACCTTTGTGCTTCATCATCTCGTCCAAAATCCGGAATGCATCAAGAAAATTCGAGCCGAATTGGATACTCTAGATATTGGCACATACGGGCACCGAATCTGGAGGGATCCAAAGACAGCTCAGTTAAGATATCTAGTAAGTGATTTCTTAATACTGACCTATACCAAACTGAACTTGGCGCTGACGCCCCCAGGATGCTGTGTGCAGAGAGTCATCCCGCTTGAGCTCACCCAGTTGGCACCGACAACCACGACAGAGTGCCACTCCGGTGGAGTACGAAGGAGCCATAATACCCCCAATGGTAAGTGGATCTAAGCCACTTTCACTCTGACTGTGTCTGACACTCTGTAGACGAGTATGAGCTTTACCTTACACTTACTCGAGCGCGATGCCACCCTGTTCCCAGACCCGAATTCATTCAAGCCTGAAAGATGGCTCGGGTTTAATCAAGAGTCAAAGATAACCAAGGGGCACTCCGTTTCATTTGGTACTGGCACACGAACATGCTTAGGGCAACAGTAGGTGTAATCCGACGGTCTCAAGAAATTACCTCTACTAACACACATACTTCACTAGTATTGCCCATAGAGTGTTACGCAAAACAGTCGCATTTCTCATTTACAACTTCAACATCTCTTTGTGGAACGAGAAGATGGATAGGGCAGACGGATTTCGGTATTTAAACACATACCCCAAGAAAGGTCACGAAGGTTACATGAAGGTCCAGGTGACTCCGCGCTTTGGATAGAATGCATAGCGACTCAGCGGCTGTTTCCTTCATCTGAGAAAAGTTCTTCTAAGATTCCCGATAATCAAGTTTTACATCACTGCCAGTTAATTTCGAGTCGGTTATTCACTTCAAAATGCTTTTAGAACGAGGTTGCTGTGCAGAGCATGAGATAGTATTGAATGATACCCAATAACAATGAGAACTACCTTATCCAACAATGACATTGCAGACACACACAGAAAGGCTGACGTCTGAAAAGGGCCATGTGACCTGAGGTGCGTAAGAGGGTCGTGCCTAACTCGCGATTGTGTTAGGTGGCAGAGGCTGGTTCGCGGCCACGAAGGGCAGAGGCGGCCACTCGCCCGGGTCAAAGGTATCCTCAAATGTGTGAACCCCTGACTGTACCACAAGTCCGTGACGTTCTTGGTCTGTCTCCGCGACAAAGGACCTTGGCAGCCCTGAAGGAAGAAACACCACCGCGGAGCAGTTTGGCGGCACTTCTAGCCTCATGTTGAATTTTGTGCCTACCAGTACCCATTCACATGCCACCTTCCCGTAAGGACCTTCAAAGGTGACGGTAGCGTTCGTCAAGTTCCCTCCTGGAACAGGTTCCACACGAATCGCTTTCCAACCCGGCTCTTGAGGTGAGATGCCGCCGACAGATCCGTGTAGCCAGTCTGCTACTGCGCCAAGGGCGTAATGGTTGAAGCTGGTCATCTGCCCTGGGTTGATCCGCCCGTCTGGTAGCATGCTATCCCATCGTTCCCATATCGTTGTTGCCCCCTTGGATACAACAGCGTACAGCCAACTAGGACAAGTTGTCTCGAGAAGCATTCGATATGCCAATTGCGGGCGTCCGATCTTGGTGAGCGCATGCGATATCACTGGTGTACCCGCAAAGCCCGTACTGATATGAAAGCGCGCAGTCCGTACCAGCTTCTCAAGAGCATTTGCCGCAGTCTGGCGTTGGAATGTGTCGTCGGGATACAGGCCAAACTGAAATGCAAGGGACAGCCCAGTCTGAGAACTCGACATCAGGTTACCTTCGGGCGTAATGTAACGCCTCTGGAATAGTTGTTTCAGCCTCTCGCCATCACTGGCATACCTGGCAGCCAAATCAAGCTTTCCGATCGCCGCACAGAGGCGCGAGAAGACCAAGGTCGTGTGCACCAAGTAAGCATTCGCAACAAGGATGCTGTCAGTACGACCGTTTCCAGGATCATCGGGGGGTGCACTTGGATCAAGCCAGTCAGCAAGCTGCCACTTGTCCGGGTTCCAAAGACCGTCGGAAGCTCGATCAACTCCTTCGTCAAGCCATGTTTGCATGCTGACGAATTGCCTCTCAAGTAGCCCCTTATCAGAGCTGTATTGGTATAACGCGTCTGGCGCGAGAACAGTCACGTCGTCCCATACAGCCTGAGCAATGTGCGGCCAGTTAGGAGAGATAGCCAGGGGAACAACCAAAGGAGGAATTCCTCCTTTGCCTTCTTCCAGTTGTTCAGCCGCCACATCCTCAAGCCAGTTGCCTAGGATGCCCAACGTATCGTATAGGAATGTTGCTGTAGGACAAAACACCTGCAAGTCTCCGGTCCATCCAAGTCTTTCGTCGCGTTGAGGACAGTCCGTTGGAATCGACAGGAAGTTACCCCGCATAGACCAGACTACGTTCTTGTGAAGTTGATTGACGTAGGGGTTCGAACACTCAAAGAAACCTCTGCGTCTCATATCCGTGTGCACCACAAGAGCCTGGATGTCGTCTTCGGATGGGCCACTGCCAGGCCAACCATCGACTTGGACATATCTGAAGCCGTGAAAGGTGAACTTGGGCGACCAGTTGAGAAGAGGTTCCCCTGATCCGATGATAGTATCGCAGCACTTCGCATCTCTCAAGGGCCTGGTGCCTAGCTCGTCGTTTTCCATCACTTCGGCGTGGCGGAAACTGATCTCTGCTCCCTTCTGGGGGTGAACTGATTTGACGAAGAGCTTACCGACAAGATTTTGGCCAAAGTCGAGAATAGTCTTTCCAGTCTTGCTCTGAAAGACCTTGATACAAGGCTTCGTCTCAATGACTCGGACTGGCGGCGCGTCTGGTGCTACCATTGTTGCTTGAGGCCATGGGAGAAGTCTTGTGGCTAATGCTGTCCGAGTCGCTTCCGCGGACTTCCAATTCCCCTTCTCTTCCCGCATATCATACGCCTCTCCATCGTAGATCTCACTTCTGACAAGCGCACTCGGAGCACAAGACCAAGAATCGTCTGAAAGAAGGCTCCATGGCGTGTCAGACCCTCTTTTAACTTCCAGTTGTGCAAACAGCCCGATAGTGTCGCCGTATCGAAATCGAATGCCGCCCTTGAAGCCGAGGCGTCCGGCGTACCACCCCTCCGCAACCTCGACGCAGATCGTATTCTTGGCCCCTGGAATCAAGAGCTTTTGCACGTCAAGAATGCGATAGACGAGACGATGCTTGTAGCTAGTCCAGCCCGGGGCCATGCACTCATCCGTTACTGGCTTCCCGTTGATCCAGGCTTCAAATACACCCAGCGATGTGATGTACAATCGAGCTGAAGCGGGTCTGAGATCGAGCTCCCGAGGTAAGGTGAACTCTTTTCGGAAGCGAATAGGTCGCAACGGGCCGTGAGGTCCAATTTGCTGAGCTGCTGTGATAAAGTTGGCTCTGAAGTCGTCTTGATTCAGCAGCGCGGCTTCCACAGTTGCTGGTTCAGACCACCCACTTGGCTCTCTGTTGGCGTAGGACTCTTTAACCAGACTGTCCCCATACACCCGCACTCGGACTGTGGCAGCTTCGCGAGAAGCCAGGTCCCTTGCTGGCCATGGCACAAGCACAGACTGGTCGCTGACCTCAGCAAAGCTCTGGGGCTTCTCTTCAGAAGCGAATTTGATCTCGATCTCGTAAGAAGTCTGGACCCAGCCAGCGATAGTCTCATCGGTGCTTTCGAATCGCCATGAGATTCTTGGCCTTGACGTTGCTACGCCGAGGCCATTATGGTGGTGTTCAAAGGCAGGTCTTGTGATTGCCGGGCAAGACATGGTTTGTTGTATGCAACTTGGTAGCGCTGGCTTTCGTCGACCCATGCGTCTCAATGAATCTGGATTTCAAGAGGTGAAATAGACTCAACAAGACCATTGCGGCCTAAAGGTCCCCGTGCTTGGCAGGTTCCGGTGCAAAGAGGCACCGATTCGGTCTCCATTTGGCACGAGGTTATGATCATCGCCGCGCGACAAACTGCCGGTATCCCAGGGGTTGGAATGTACGTATCGGCATCGGCAACGATTCCGAAGCAGCCAAGTCTTTCATCGACCACTCACGAGACGTTCATGATGTGGGAATTCGAGGTTTGTGCGGAGACTCCGCGCCCCCGCATGCTTTAGCTCCCCAGTCGTTTGAGCGAGCTCAGGGAATCTGCCGAAATCAGTCGGGGCAATCACGGTTACTAGACGAATTCGTCATGACTACGGTGTTCTGGCCTCCTGGTTGGCAACATCTTTAAGGCGTAGAGCCGAATTTATCGGTGTACCTTTGCACCGAAGATGTGGCAAGTTAGATGGTCATGTTGATATAGATGATAATCATGCCCCGGATTTTAACCTGCATAATGGAACCGCAGTTCCCCAGATCTGTTTTACTCCACACATCCCTCTTGTCAGCAGTTTCGTGACTTTGGTATGAGTTTCCTCATCGTCGCTGTGGCGCTTGTCGCCGCTCAGGGTGGCTTCATCTATGGGTTTGACTCTGGTTTGTTTCCATCTTCTCCGATGCAGTCGATCAGGGAATGCTGACTCAAAGTAGGAATCATCGCCACGACCTTTGGCCATGATAGTTTCAAGCTCAAGATGTACGGACCGTCTATGGTCAATACTAGTTATCAAGGTACGGTACACTCAACCCGGGACCGTCCCATATTACATGAACGCACCGCTCACTCTTCGTAGGCGCCATCGTATCGGTCTATAATGCTGGTCAAGCCATCGGCGGAATGACAGTAGGCTACCTTGCCGACAAGCTTAGTCGAAAGTATACGATTCTTCTCGCTTCAATCTTGAGTTGGTTTTCCCCGCCCGAGGCAAAGTCCATACAATGGAAGCGTTTCTGATGTTTCCTCCAGCTATAATTGGCTCTATACTCCAGTGTGCTGCAGTCCAAGTTGGCATGATGATTGCAGGCCGCCTCGTGGCCGGCATCGGCTGTGGTCAGCTCCTCTCTGTTGTTCCCATCTATCTCGCCGAGGTTGCGCCTCCAGCGCGTCGTGGTTTCCTTGTCGGACTTCAGGGAATGATGATAGCCATCGGCTTTGGCATTGCTAACTGGGTATGTGCATATGTACATCCAATTTCCACTGCATACACTGACCGTTTTTGAGGTTGGCTACGCGGGTGCTTTTGCTGTGGGGGATGGTCAATGGCGGATCCCACTGGCAATGCAGCTTCCTATCCCTGTTCTCCTCTCAGTAATGGTCTTCTATGTACCGTTCTCGCCCCGTTGGCTTATACTCCGCGATCGCTACGAAGAAGCGAGAACCGTTCTGGCGAACCTACACGGGGCCGCAGATAACGATGATCTGGTCGGTCGCGAGCTCATCCAGATCCGTGAGCAAATTCTCCTGGAGAGGTCCCAGGGCAACATGGACTGGATGACGGCCCTATGTGCACTGTTTTCCCGAAAGTACGTCCGCCGTACGCTCACAGCCGCATTTATTGTCACCATGGGACAGCTCAGCGGCTCCTCGGTCATTCAGAACTTTCAGAACATATTCTATGCCACTGTCGGGTTCACTGGTAGAACGGCGCTGCTCATCAGTGGTGCTTACGGCATGATGGGGATTCTCGGCCAGGTCATCTACCTCTTCGTCGTCGCAGACCGCTGGCCACGAACACGTACTCTATGGAGCGGTTCTCTAGTGCTGAGTGCCATGATTGCATTATGCATGGCTCTCAGCGCAGTCTATGGCAATAAGAGCAATGACGATGAGGCAGGAGCGAGGGCGGCCATCAGCGCCATCTTCATCTACTCCATGTGTTATGCCATTTTCTTCAACGCCATGATCTGGGTCGTGCCCTCGGAGCTGTTCCCCTTCTTCCTAAGAACCAAGGGTTTGGCATTTGCCGTTGCTGCCAAGTCTGTTACGGCAATCGTGCTCTCGCAAGTTACTCCACTGGCTATTGCGTCCGTTAGCTGGAGGTACTACTCTCTCTTCATCGCAACTAACTTAGCGGCCGCCGTCTTCTACTTTTTTTTCCTGCCAGAGACTGTAAGTCATGACATCAACTAGCTCGCTATATCTCGCTAACTTTGGGCAGTCCGGCAAGTCCTTGGAGGAGATTGCGGAGCTGTTCGGAGATGACCTAGCAACAAACCGCCTGGGCGAGCTAGACGTAGACGCGAAGAATGGAATCGGGCCAGAGGCAGAGCTTCATGAATTTGCCGAGAGGCGATCTCAGGCTTGAGAAGTTCGGACAACAAGTATGTCGCTGTCTTGCGGTGCGGACGCCTCTCCACACCTGGCGATAGAACAACATCGTGCTTCGCACATGAAAATTTCCCGAAACTGTCCACGCAGTAACTCCTCAGTGCCATCGAATGAATCTCGGCCTTTCATTATTCAGAAGTCCACTAGTAGTAATTTAGTATTGCTCTTCGTTTGGTGACAATGATTAGGTAGGCAACTACAGAACTCACTGTCTAACAGGCTTGGCTTTTGAGGTTGGGTTCGAAAGACAGGCAAAGCTTTAATAAGAAGGAGATTATGAAGTTCTATTGATCAGGCGAAATAGGGAAGTATTCCTCAGCTTCCATCTCTTCACTCCCTCAACTTGCTAGCCGCTCAGACATCGACCGAGAAGACCATTGAGTCGGTGATAAGTCCGATACTCCCCGTCACCTCGCTACCGTGGAATCATCGAGTTCGTCAATGCGGGGCCATGGGTCATGCGGGGTGTAAGCGTTGCCACCCGGACTTCTTCCCGGTGCGGAGATGCTTGCCCGGAGAGATTTCGGAGGAAGATCAAGGTCAATGAAAGCTCGCGATGCTGTCACGGTTGAAGAGGCAGTACTATCTCGTTTTGAAGTAGTAAGACATGGATAGCATAAAGTTTGGGGCATCTGCTGAGCGGTTGCACTGAAATAGGGCCGAGAAATAGGCAGATCGGTCGAGAGATTCCCTATTCCAGACATCTTATTGCATACGTTCAGACTTATTGGGTACATCGGAACACATATCAATTCATTTCCCAGGTTTTCAATTCCGCTGTGAAGGTTTCAAAAGCTTGAACAACTGGATCAAAAATCCTTCTACACTCCTCTTTCGTACGCCATACACAGATTCAAACCTCAATATGGGATCTAAAGCCGATCACATCCTCATAACCGGGGCCGCCGGCTTCCTAGGCCAAGAGCTCATCACCGCACTGCTTCTCCCATCGCCTTCAATCCATCTCACAGCAACAGACATCACAGCCCCTCCAATTCCACCCCAAGCCCTTCCTCACGCATCTCGCGTGACATCACTTCAAACGGACCTCACTTCACCAGAGGCCGTCGCTTCTCTACTAACGAGCCACTCGCGATTCAACGCAATCTATCTTCTCCATGGCATCATGTCCGGAGGCGCGGAAGCGAACTTGGAGCTAGGCCTTGCTGTAAACCTCGACAGCCACCGGCTAATCCTGGATGCCCTGCGCCAAGAATCATCGCCGCATCGTGGAACTGTAGTGATATTCCCCAGCTCATTGGCAGTCTACGGTCCCGCATCACCGGGACAAATCAACACCGAGACAACTTGCCCGATACCCCAGTCTTCGTACGGCGCACAGAAGCTGATAATCGAGACGCTTCTAGGAGATTACGCACGCCGCGGACTACTAGACGGACGGATTGTGCGGTTGCCTACCATCATCGTCCGTCCGGGCGCCCCAAGCGCGGCGGCTTCTTCCTTTGCTTCGGGCATCGTAAGAGAGTCACTCAAGGGTGAGGAGAATATCTTGCCTGTGGGGCGGGAACTACCGATGTGGGTGTGCTCTCCGAAGACGGTGGTCAAGAACCTGGTGGACGTCAAGAGCATTCCTCATGAGAAGTTTGGGATCTCTAGAGTTCTCAATTTGCCCGGCGTTACTGTCACCGTGGCGGACATTCTGAATGCACTAGAGGTTGTCGGAGGCACAGAGGCTAGGAAACTGGTGCGCGAAGAGAGAAGTCCGCAGATTGAGGCGATTGTCGGTAGTTGGCCGGCTTATTTCGGTGTTTCTAAGGCTCTCGGCCTCGGACTTTCTCAGACGGGGATCTCATCACCACAGTCAAGGACTTTGCAGAGCGCCTTCGGGCCGATATTTAGATAGCTTTCTTTTCGAAGAGTGGATGTTCAATCTGATGGCAATTCCTGCGTCCATTATGGTTTCTGAACAGATCGGCATTAAATCGTGGACTCGGGTTGACGTAGAGGGAAGAAATAGAGAAAAAGTATGTCCAATATGCATTCTATGGTACTTTCCCCGTTGACTGTCATACCTCATCGCCCAATTCCAAACAGTTCACCAAAGACAGTTGTCCACCTTAACTTCTTAGTCTTCAACATTTCAACCCACTCTGACAGCAAATCATGCAAGTGATGAAGGTTCGCCTTGCGCCAGTACCCCGCCTGCTTGGTCCTCCACGACAGAGGCGTACATTCCCAAGCATTAGTGTATAAGTACACAATCCACATGACGTCCAAAGAAGTCATGCCAAACTTTTCGGCCTCATGGCCAAGGCTACCAAGCACTCTCTCAAAGAACTCGTCCCAGAAGGAGGGATCTGGCTCAGGATCATCGTCTCCAACGGCGCCATGTCTCACTCTCATGACTTTGGGTTCGATGCCTCTGTTGAGCTCTTGGATGGAGTAATCAAAAACATCGACTAGCTTTTTAGCTACACAATCGAAAGACTCCAACTTCTTGTAGTACTCAGCCCATGGGAGATTAAGGCTGAAGTCTTTGGGCTGGAGGTAACAGAGGGCCGCAGAGTGTTCAGGGGGGATAAGGCTTGGGACTTCGTCGAATATGAGGCCTGGAACACGCAAGTAGTCCTGTGGCTCACCAAAGCGCTTACAGCTATAGATGGGCCCGTTCTCTGGCGGAGTAAATCCATCTGAAGACGGTAGTGAGGACATTTCTTGAGACTGAAGTGGTTCTGAGAAGCTAGGTTGATGTTCTTGTAGCTAATGTGATTCTGGTTTCTGGTTTGACTGCGACCAAAACTTCGTAGGAAGATTCCTCATCTATTAGTATTTGAATTAATAACTGAGCTGAACAACATTGTTGGCAATTGTTTCTAGCTTTGCGGGACTCACTGTCAGTGAACAAAGCCACAAGAATAGCGTAAAGGCTTCGAAATCTGATATGAGAAAAGACAAAGACTGAAAATTTTGGCGAACAGCGCTGTTGTCTTCAAGGTCTTCACTTGTACAACCCTTTGAACAAGATCGAGGTGGAGCTCCTATCAAAACAAAACATTGTACTATAGTAGCGCTCGAGATAGGTAGTACGGCTTTCGAAAAGCTGTTCGATGGCCTCGAACACCACTTAGCTTGAGCCCTGCCTACTTTCACCATCAAACCAAATTAGATCCTGCTTGCAGCTTGCTCCTCCAATCCTCGACTCCTTTGAGAACAGGCCGAGGGCTCCCATCATACCCAGTCTTCCGCATCCACTCAGCCAGGCTCCGAATCCGACCAGGATGAATATGGTCCAATAACGCCAAGTCCCTCTTATTGATGATACCTTCTCCCCAGAACCGCCACCAAGCCCCAAAGTTCTGTCTCCAGGTCATGTCCGACTCATCGCGAGCAACCTCCGGACCGACGGAAAAGTTGACGTAGGCACCCGGGTGCGGCTCCGCGAGCGGCGCGTATTCTTCAAACGGCACACTCTTGTGGATCCCCTTTTTTCCCGTCACCTCGGTGAAGATCCTCGCAATGTCGGCGAAACTGACTTCGTCGGTTGTCACTTCCAGGTTCAGGCCCGCGGAATCGTCGAGGTTGTCAAAGAGCCAGAGACTATAGATGCCGACGTCTTCTAAAGCGATGAGTGGGATTTTGCCGTCCTCTGTTATGCCATTAGGTTGGTGCTCAAGACGGTGTGATGAAGTGACCTAGAGTGGGTTACGTACTGGCAGGGTTTGCCCAGAGGAAAGAACCATCCGGTTGCTCTGTGGGCGGAAACATTCCGTCTAGGAGCATGTCCATATAGGGACCTGTCGTGAGGACGGAGCTCTTCATGCGGTCCTGGCCTTGAGCCAAGATGAAGTCTGTGACTCTCCCTTTGGAATCGTTGTGACCCCAGTGGTACCTCTCGTTCCCTGCATATGCTCGTTAGCAACACAATTGAACGCCGCGAATGAAAAAAATGGAAGGGATCAACTAGTGCTTACATCCTGACTTCTTCAACGCATAATCAGTCCCAGCCCAGACGTAGTGTTGGGCACCTTCGTGCCTGGCAATCTCGTACGCGCGGATGCCGTATAAAAGCTCACTCTTCTGGCCCAGAGTGAAGCCGTCCGTGTTCACCCATGCGCCGTAGACACCCTTAAACGCGCGGTGGAGATCCTGCTGGCTGTCTTGTTTGCCCTGAATGAGGGTGACGTTGGGGAGCGTGGCAAGCTCCTTTGCGCGGGCGTTGTCAACGTCACGGGTGAGGACCCTGACGCTGTATCGCCTGGTTTCCGCGAGAGCTGTTTGCAATGTTAGAGTGATTTGCAGGTTTGGGGACGACGAAGATACCCTTGACAACTGGTCTTCCTTGGGCACCAGTGCCACCGATGACGAGGATTTCTTTCAGTTCTGACATTGTTCAAGATAGATGAATCTGTTAGATGATTGTGTTAGACAATTGTATTTGGTCTGAGTATAAATCAACTCAACGATGGGGGCACTCGTTGATTCTTATTTACATCCATATCGGAAGCCTTCGCTTGAGCCTCGCGGTCCTTTCCTTCTCACCGCAAGCACAGAGGTCGGGCTGTCATGATAGTGAAGTTGATGATTAACAAGCCAGATGCACGATTTACAATCTATCGGAAATGACTAATTATCAGTGATAGTGTGCTAAAATCGCCGTCCCTCATGCAACATCAGGGCTTGGATCTTGATGGACATTCTGGAGAAGCCGTGGCAGGACTCACATAATTCCCCCGGTGTCGTCTTTGTCATGAATATTAGATCGCAACCCACTCGGAAGCAGAGTTATGCACACATGTCCAGCGTATAGTTATTTCTCACTTTCAACTTCGACTGTATTGATTAATGATCAAGGGCAAGTTTCGACCTCTATGACACAGAGTTGGTGAGAAACGCGGGATGAGTAATCATTCAAGTGCTGATCATGGCTTCGGAACCTTGAGTTGGCTGATTTGAATATTAGCGAGAAAACAACTTTGGTCTTTAACCAAGCAAAGACTCCTAATGTCCCATAAGGCGCATGCGATTGTTGCCGCCATGAAAGCTGCATCAATCGGACTTCCCCAGCTTGTTACTGACAACTTGGTCCAGACATCTATGTTCTTGGCTACTTCCAAGTCGGATACGCACCAACGTCCTCTCGAAGCATACGCCACTCCTCGCAAGACTTACATATCTGTCTTGGACGCTGAAGTAGATGACTTGTTCATTTCTTACCTTTGTAGAGTAACATGGCCCTAAAGGTACGACATTCGTGCAACCAATGCGTACATCGTCGATATGACCTCAATCTGTCCATATGGTAAAACCGACTGATCTACCACTCCATCTCGTCTTGGCAAATCAAGGATCACTGCCCCATGCAAATGAATGCAATCTGCAACAACAAACAAGAGAACAATGACTGAGACACAGAGGCGCAGACTAGTGACGTGTTCTCCTTTCGATGCTGACCTTGCTTCTCTAAATCCTGCTGCCTAAAGCTAAAGACTTTTAGAGCAAAGACTGTTGCCTATTGCTACCTTCTCGCAGACCAAGTTGGAGGCCGCTTTACAGAGACGCGGATTAGGTACTACGTCTGGAAGACTCGGGGCTCAGGAGAGATCTAAGATGATCTTAGAAGCGAAAGCGAAGTCAGAAGTTCGACAGGCTGGATAACTAGACTGCACGTCGAGAGCAAAGAATTAGCCATTGCTTCGGCCTTCAGACGCTGTAGTTCACGACCATTCCTGACATCTCCCCTTCAGGAACCCAATCACAGGACGCGTCGATGACCTCCAATTGCCAAGAAACAACCATCATCAGTATGCTCATCTCGATGACCCTCTCATAAAGGCCCGAATGTGCCAACTTCAAGACAGGACCCCGGCCCCGTCGGCCACCGCCAAACGCACTCCGTAACCGTTCGCTTCCCGCAGCTCCCGTAGATAAAGTTGTAAACAGGCCACACGCCGCACGGATATCTCGGCTTGGCAAATGAAGTTGGGCAGCGGGTACAGCCCTTTTTCCCCCCAGGGCTAGCCGGGCGCCAAAGAAGTCCTGCAGGGTCAGCGAACCATGCCCCGAAATGGTCTACACTCGTTCAAAAAAAGCCAATGACATGTTGTACATGTTGTACAAATCGTTGATCTTTTGTACGAACAATCGAATCAGATCTCCTTGATCCACCGGATACGAACAAGCGATATGCCGCAGGAGCTTAAAAACTGGACATTTCATCATTGCGGGTGTGGCGGAGCTTCGGAGAATAGACAAACAAACAGGATAGATTTTCATTATAAGTGCTAATTCGGCACACACGGGATTGACCCAGGGTCCTAGTGTGCAAAGATATAAAAGGAGGCCATTATTCCTTTCCCAACGCCTCTGCGATGCTTTAAATGGACGACTCGTTATAGAGATCTTGATTCCATGTCTTTTTGACGCGCTTTTCCCACACAAACGAACCTCTATCGAACAGCAATGTTCTTCATGCGGCCCGTTGTCGGCACCGGCTTTTCCAGTCTCAAGGCCCAAAGCAACATATCCTCTGCGGGGAGGAACACCAGCAAAGCACGGTTGCACAGGTAGGCGACCAACGCGCAAAAGGTAGCGACGAAGGCGTCCATCAGGTAATGGTTGGCGGTGCCCACGATGGTCAACAAAATCCAACTTGGGTAAAAGATACCAAAGCAGAACATGGCCCAGCTCTTCCAGCGCTTGCGGTTCTCCTGAATCTCCTTGAGCTCGACGTCATCGATATCCAGCGACTTGTCCAAGTCGTTGCGCAACAAGTAGTTCCTCAGGCGACCGAAGAGGAGGTTGAGGATGGCCGAGTCGGCGATGAAAACACAGCCAATGGCGAAGGCGTAGCCAAAGTGCATAGAGGGCATGGCGGCCAGCTTGTTGACAAACTTGCCGCTCATCCAGACACTCTCAGCGTTCTCGAGGTTGACCGTGTCGACGAAGCCGTACTCGGAGGGCATCAGACGGGGCGGAGCACACGGGTAGAAGATGAAGATGATGAAGGCACACATGTTCAACAAGGTCATTGTGCGACGAACAGTGCAGAAGCGAGCGTGGGTGGGAGCCATGGCGAAGTAGTAGGCAATGAAGCCGACGGTACCAGGGATATGGATCAGAGAGTATCCGCGGTTCAGGATGGTCAGCCAAATGCCACGGAAGTCGTCGATTTGAGCACCCTCGAGGAACCAATGGGAAACGCGCCATTCAACCCAGCGCTCGGGACCGGTTCTGGTGCCCTCGCCGAAGAACTTGGCCTCGGTCTCGAGAAGAAATAGGCCGTGCTCCTGTGCGACATCCCAGACAGCCTTTCTGCTGCCGTAGTAGCTCTGGGCCAGAGTGGCGGTCATGCGGTAGAAGAAGAAGGAGATGGCCCAGTAGAACATTTCGATGAGGAAAGGGAACTTTTGCAGGATTCTCGAGTGAACGTGCCTCGCAAAACGGCTCGAGTTCGGGGTCTTGACGCGGTAGCATCCAAAGATGGTACGGTATTTGGGCGGGAAAGGATCGGTCCGGATAGGGTCGTAGGACTCGTCGGAGATGCGGGGTGAGTCTCCTCTCTCTTCAAATAGAGGTTCGTACGTCGCGTTTCCGCGGCGGAGGATCGAGTAGTTTTTTCTACGACTGACGTACAAGCCGATGAGCATGATGGATACAATCAGCTAGTGCTGGTAGTTAGCCTCGAGGATTCATATGACGTGAAACTGCGACTGCGGTGATGTGGCAGCGGAATGGCTGTGTTTCTTACAATTGGTTCTACCCAGTCCGGAGTTCTCCATGTGTGTACTGCCTTCCAACCGCCTTCGGGAGTGCCATACGGCAATTTGCCGCTAGGAGGCTTCACGTCGGCCATGATGTATGTCTACTTTGGGCGGGGTTCGAAGAGTGGTGTTGAAGTGCGGATTACGTTCCCCTAAACAGTGTCGTGTGCTCGTTCTGCAGTTGTTTGAATCGGCAAAAGACAGTCGTCGGGAATCAGATCGGGTAGTTCTTGAAGTCGGAAAGTCTAATGGCTCGAAGCAACAAGCACATTCAATGCAGTCGGAACGTCGTGTGGCGGGTCGTGAAGATGTCGTCGCGCGTAGTGGAATACTCGTGCCTGTTTCGGTGGTAGACTTGTCTCTTTGGTGGCCGTGTATCTTCCTTCAGTGGAGAGGATGCTGAATCTCGATGCCGACTCGTGTAACAGCGTCAGACAGCGAAAGGTAGACAAACACTGATCATGCGACCGACTCGAGGGAGAAAAGGAGGCGGGAAGAAAAACAAGACGTGGATGTAGCCGAGCTGAGAGACGGGAGGCAGGATCTTGAAGAAAGGAGACAAGAAAGCGGCCGACGGGGGGTGCAAGCAGCGACTCACGAGCGGCGTAGTAAGAGAAGCGGGCTCCGCCGTTCATTTAAACGGATGGACCATTTTTTCGGTAAGAGTTGACGGTAGGCTGGGCAAAAACACACACAGCAAAGCAAAGCAAGAAAGAAAGGGCGGATTTGGCTCGCGGACACCGCGCAGTTGTCCAGTGAGTAGCAAGAAGGTGGGAACACACGGCAACAGTGGGTGCGATGCCAAGACTTTTGGGTTTCTCATCTTTTGCGCTGCATCCCTGCTGCTTTGCGTACTCCGTACTTCGTACCGCACCTGCTCCGTGAATATGGGTGCATTATACAGAGTACATACAATTCGTACCTGCCCCATATCACTCTACGCTGTTCCTTAGGTAGAGGAAGGAGAGAGTACGTACCTGACCATGTGCAAATCAGGCAATTGCTCATGTCGCTCCTTGCTTCGCTTGGCCCTGGCGGCTCTTGGCTCTTTCCTGCAGAGGCTCAGACTCGCGTGCAGCTACCTCAATTCGCACCTTCTGCGCCTACTGCTCGGATACGTACACACGATCCGTCCCCATCAAGATGGAACCGACTACTGCTCTGGGAAGGTTGTCGTGTGGATAAAGGTACGCGGCAGGTGCAAATCTCGGGTTGCTGCTCACCGTTCCTCGGGCCCTTCCCCATCCCCCATCATGACAAACTCTCACAGCCTCAAACCTGCCTTTCCAGACTGCCAGGTTCCATGGATTCCCTCTATGACGGTATCTACCTTACCGTTGGGGCGGAAAGCTCAACTCTGTCTGGACCTTCCCTCTTATCTCTCAGAATTCAATTGTTCACCTTGATTTTTTAGATGCAAGTTGTGAGATTTTCAATACCTCCCTTCAGGTAGTTTGGCTGAGGAAAGTGCCATGATTCAGAGCAGGTACCAAGTAAGGTACGGATACTCGTACCTACCTCCTCTTTCCCATTGCGCCTGGCGGCCTGGGGGCCACGCGTCTTGGCGCCTTCCATGTCCATCGCTCCATCCTCCACCCCCATGCCCAGTGCCCACTCTTTCCATCTC